CTCCATGACCTTGTATTTTAGGTGGTGATGTGTGTTTATAGAAACTCCAACTTTGATTTACCTTGATTTTACAAATACGTATCAGAATTTCTGCTCTTCAAATACAATGCTCATTTTGTTTAATTAGGACGACAATTATTTTTGTGCTACATTATGTCACTTTCACTCTTTTCCACATAGAATTTCTAATTTGGATTGGTAGTTAGCATCGAGGTCATCAAGCGTCGCTTATTGTTTGCAAAAATTTTACACAATTACAGAATTCAGATTAGTATAACAAGACGACTGTCAATGAATATAAGGCTTTATTTGATCGTGACTCTGAGGACCCTAAAATAAAAGAAAATCCTAAGTAATTAAAGGAACTTTATTTCCATATTATTTCAGTTCTTATATAAGAAGTAGGATTTATTAGTTCACCCATAGCCCTAATCAAAACTTATTTTATTTTATTACCTCACAGTTCAAACACTAAAAGTATACTAAGCTTCAGTTTTATGTATATTTATTAATAAGATACAGAAAAATCTAAAGATTACAGTAAAATTTAGAGACAAAAAAATTATCTAAATTATTTACTATCACGCAAGACATATTTAGCGAGTTTTTTCTACCTAGGAGTCTCTGTCTGGATTGGTGTTTGTTCTGGGTTGGTTTGCTATTTCTGGCGTAAAGCAGTAGTGCACCCCCTGCTGTGATCGGGCTTGGTTGGACGGAGGGTGGAGGTGGTTATGCAATACATCTTGTCCTTAGTAGTGACAACGCATCTGTGGCGTTCTTTGAAATAAATTACAGGTGTCCATGGGCCTATTGTTGCCTTTTACCATCACGTTAGTTTGTCTGTCACACTAATATAATAATAAAGATATTATTTTGCAACAATCACGGAACGAAACTTATTTTGCTTAATTGCCTTAATATTTTTTGTGGTATCAAAACAAGTTGACATATTAGGAAAACATTGGTCATCGCTTCAAATTATTGCTTTTGTTGAAATTTAATTGGTTCATTACGAGAAAAACAACTCAATGTATTCTGATTTTTATCGCCACTAAGTGGTACTTTATTCTAATCTAAATCAGTGAAAAAAGTATTTTTTTTATATGCAAAACTTATTAGTTAGCAATTAAGAAGATTTCGCTAAACTAATAAGTTTTTAGATTTTTAAGATTATAAAATTAATTTTTCAACATATTTAAACTAATCTTATCGTTTTAGTGAGCCTGTTAGTTTATAGTTGGCAGTATAAGATGTTATTAATTTACGAGAGGGTTTACGACTTTATGAGCTTTATGAAGTGAACTACGGATTCTCAAGTCAAGGTCAATACATCTGTATCTTACTGGTTTTGGCGCACCTACAATGTTTACATACTTCACGTGTGATGCGTCATGTCGACGCTAGTCGATAGTGTTTACCGACGCTCTTGGATCTGCGCTTGAGTCACAGACTGCGGCCGCCAGATGATTATAGCTCCTGCTCGGTCAGTCCGTGCGCGTCGGTCAATCTGTAGTCTACTCGCCTTTGTGTTGTTTTCCCCACTTTTTATTTAGTACTCTCTATATGTTTAGTGCATACACTTCAAGTCTGGCTCCTATTATCTTATAATGTTATCTTTTATTCATAAGTTTATTGAACGCAATGCGATCGGAACATGAACGACGCATAATTCTTGACAGTGCAAAATAACTATTGTGGATCGAATGGATCGGAACAACTTCAGGGATATCTAAGTCTCAATATTACAAGTGATATTATTCTAGTCAGTGATGTGATACAATTAGACTTATATCTAAGATGATGTACGAAGTGTTAATTGGTTTTGGATTGGTGCTATATCTATTTTGGAAGTATTTACTGCCTAAAAGTAAACACCAAGGTGATGTTATAGATTCGCCTATAAATAAAGAGGATGTTTCATCTATAGCAGAAACTCAACACATATTGGACGCTGAAAAAAATCGAAGCAATACATTGGTAAATCACAAAAAAAAATATGGTCAATTAGATGAAATCGCTAGTATTGAAGGTAGTCTGCAGAATCAAACCACGATTTTAAACGCTATTGATACGTTTAACTTTTGTAAATCGGATGAACTATACAGTGAAAGTGCATTCCAAAATCAAAAGTTTATTAAGAGAGTAAGCCCGCCAAAAGAACGTCTTACAGAATTCTTAGAAAAGACTATCCTGAATGATAATAAGTTACAATCGATAATTCAAAACTTATCCTTAGATAAAACTGAGTTCGAAACCAAATCGCAAAGCTTACGTGATGGAGGCTTTAAAACTTCGTATAATAATGAAGTGATAAATAATAAAACCAATACTGTAAATGATTCTACCGCTCAACAAAATATTAACCAATTGTTTTATGTTAATTCTAATAAAGAAAATGATATAAATAAAAATTATATCTCACAGAAAGAGGAAAATTTTAATGTTGAAAATAAGCCCCTATTAAAGCGTCTTCAAACACAACCTGGAGGCGTTATCTTTGGTTCTGTAATAGGAGAGTTAAAAAGTAAAACAAGAAGTAAAAATGGCGGTCTGAAGCCTGTTTTCAAGAAATTCGAAACCGATGTGTTGGATAACGTGCAGGCATGTCGTTATATTTTATTTAGTTTCCATGGTTTTTATATTATTATCAGCTTACTTTAAAAATTAAATGTTACCTTATAGCAAATTTACTTTAAAAATAAGGTAAAATTTTATTTTTAAAGTAAATTAAATATCAAATATTATTTGTTTCTTTACGCGTACTATGGGTGTCGTAAGACTGCAGGGTCTTCTCTTTAATAACTAAAAATAAAAACTACGTTTGCCAACTCGCGTGCCAACCGTGTTAGCTATGGTTAATATGGGGGATAATTAGAGATGAGACCGTCTATAGTGGGGACCTATGTCTATTTTAACAGGCTGTAGTGGTTATGCGATTCTTATTAGGTTTCTACCTCACATAACCAAACATAGTGTTTGATTTGCAACACCTGTAGTCACGTGGGACCTTATAGTGTAGAACACAGATCTTTTTAAAATAAAGACTAGCAATGTTATTATATTAACATAACTCATATTCCCTTTAACCACTCCTGGTAAGCTTAAAATGCTTGTGTTAGGAGTGGTTCACGACAGTAGTCGCATGGCAGATTCGAACCCACGACCCTTTGAATTCTCGGACCGCTCCCTGCCATTAGGCTATTGTCACTTTAAATTATATGATTACTAATATATTCTAGAGATTGTAGAGAATGTTCAGATGTACTAGTTAACCCGGGCTATCTTCAGCATTTGATTAATAATATGTTCGTACATCGAAAAAACCTGCTTTAAAGCACTCGAAACGTCTAGAATTTAAAATAAAGGCAAGTTCGAGCAATGAAATCATAACATAGCTGCATCTAAATTGTAAGATTTAAGATAATATTACAATTGTTTCCTTGCAACATCATGTAACCTATGGCTTAATAAAATATAACTGCCGCATAGCCGGAAGTCATACGTGTTTAAGATATATAATGTAAGATAATTCAGAAACACAACGGCGCACATAGTTAGCTTTTGCCTTAGGGTTATTAAACCAATACTTAATGTTGAAGAAGGATCAAGGTCATTTATAGTTTGTAACTCGTTTAATACAAGTTATGGTCAAACAACTACTTCTTTTGACTTACTTAATTTAGACTAAGCAAAGTTGTTTGATTTCTATAATTTATGTTTTATATAAGCGACAAGAATGATTGTATTATGATAGTTACGGTTTAATATTTCACATATCTGTAACATGATGAATTATGAACAATGTAGAATGTGCGCGCCGTTTCTATATTAACATTCCCTTTTTATAGGGAAGAATGGAATTCGATTGTGGTTGCAACTGATACCTATTACTTGTGCTTTGGTACACAATAAACGTTGAATTAATTTTTATATCATACCAGTCATTAAATAGTAATATGCATAAATATCTGATCTAAAAGCAATTGAATCGTACTAGAATTGCATAATTATTCAACTAAGAAGGACAAAGATTACGTTTCGAACGGGATGCAGTGTTGTATAAATATAATATATCCGATAATGAAACATGATACTGTGAACATGTTCACAATAACAGATATAAATATTAAGTTAGATGTATCTAGAATAAAATAAGAAGAGTGAAATAAGAATTATAGTAAGTGCGAACGGTTATTAATCTCATTAATTTATTTTATTCGGCACCACAACATGAACACTATTTGTTTAAACATGCAATCACTATGAGTTATTAATAATTTAATCTGGTTGCAAAGTAGCAGCATATAATATGACGTCCCACGGCTGGGCAGTGCTGCCGTGAAGTGACGGCGTAAGAGACTTCACTACTCCATATTATCATGTTTTGGGTGTCGTAAGAGGTGAAAGAGAGAAATTGAACTAGAACTGGGGATGAAAACCATGAAACTTTCATGAAAGTTCAGCACGGAACATTTTATAGGCTGTAATGCATCATCATCGTCACCACTACAGCCCTTCACAAGTCCAGTGCTGAACATAGGCTTCCCCCAAGGAGTGCCACAAAACACGGTCCTGAGCCGCCTGCATCCATCGATTTCCTTCACGCCTTACTACACTTCACCTATCGGTACGAGGCTGCCACTCGAGAACCTTTTTCACCATCGGTTATCGGTTCTTCAAGCTATATGGTCGGCCCATTGCCACGTCACTCTGGTCCTACTGCGGATATCCTCAATCCTAAGTTTATCACGCAGAAAAACTCCGTAGTGTTCTCCATAGCCATATATATCATATACATGATAGCTGAGCGACTGAGCTTCCTCATACGGCCAGTAGTGAAGGACCACGTCTCAGATCTATAGGTCATCACTGGCAACATGCACTGGTTGTACAATGTCAATAATGTTGGAGACACAGTTATCTTATATCTCAGAGGATTTGGAGGGATTAGTCCGCCGCAGTCTTCTTAATTATTAATAAATGCTTATTTTTTGTTACAGGAATCTCTTAATTCAGCAGTAGATGACAAAAAGAAGGTTCAAATTGATGAAAATGAACTAGGCCCTAACATTTTAGCCGATAGAAGGAATAAGCTTGAAACAGCTGCACAAGTAAGTAAAATTTGACATACGTATAAAATAAAAATACGCGCAGTTAAACGAAATAGTCTACGTTCTTGGTAATCAGCCTGTAAAACAGTGTAACAGTCCACTGCTGTTGTTCATTGAGATGCTTTTTCGTGATCGCCACGCTTGGTGGGCGAGTTTATAATTCAATATGAATAATAATAAAATTGCTGCATTTAGTGTCAGTCAATTTTATTAGTAAGGTGATCGCTACCAAGCTGTTTCTAATTTGTTTTGTGTTGGTTAATTGTAACATACACGATTCTAAGGTGTTATTTAAAAAAAATTGTCCCGCTGGGTTTTTACTGGTACTTCGTAGGACAGAGGTTTTTTTCCCAAACCAGTGGTAAATTAAAAAAAAGCGACTTTCAATAAGTACTAGGCTGCACTAAAAGTATCGGGAATGGAATATTTCCGCTGTTCCTGTCATATTAAAATCTTTTCAATTGAAAACTTCTTGGTTTTAAAAATCGAATACCATTTATTTATTTAAAAAAAGATTCTCGGTCTTGTCACAAGGTTTTGTCAAACTTGTTTAGTCGTTGAGGAAATGGAATTGACTCGAGAAAATTCAAGAGCGATGATTTATTATGACTTTCGAAGTGGTGTAACACAAAAACAGTGTGTTGACCGGATAATTTCTGTATTTGGTGATGAAGCCCCATCCAAAACCACAATTTATCACTGGTTTGCTGAATTTTAACGTGGACGTGTCAAGCTCAGTGACGATCCCCGTCAAGGTCGTCCAAAAACTGCAGTCACCCAAGAAAACGTTGATGCTGTGCGTAAGCTGATTGAGGAAGATCAACATGTGACATACCGCGAAATTCAGGCAACTTTAGACATTGGCATGAGTCAAATACAAATAATCTTGCATGAACAATTAGGTGTAAAAAAAGTTATTTTCCCGATGGATACCGCATTCGCTCTGTGAAGAGCAAAAAGAGGCTCGCGTTACTTGGTGCGTCAGAACTCTCGAAAGATTCCACGCAGGATCCTCAAATGCTGTATACAACATCGTATCAGGTGACGAATCCTGAATATACGCGTACGAACCCGAAAAAAACAACCAGTCACGAGTTTGGGTGTTCGAAAATGAGTTAAAGCCAACAAAAATTGTTCGTTTACGGAGTGTTGCAAAAAAAATGGTGGCCATGTTTGTCTCCAAAACCGGCCATGTTACGACTATTCCTCTTGAGGGACAAAGAACGGTTAATGCAGTTTGGTATGCTGGCATTTGTTTGCCACAGGTCGTTTCTTAACTCCGTTAAGAGAACTGCAACCGCCGCATCATCCTCCATCACGACAATGCGAGTTCTCACACCGCACACAGACAAAAAGAGTTTTTAGAGCAAGAATTATTAGACCATCCGCCGTACAGCCCCGACCTAAGCCCTAATGATTTCTATATTTTCCCTAAAATAAAGAATAAATTGCGTGGACAGAGATTTTCATCACCTGAAGAAGCTGTGGACGTCTACAAAACGGCCATTTTGGAGACCCCAACTTCCGAATGGAATGGTTGCTTCAATGATTGGTTTCATCGTATGGAAAAATGTGTCAAATTTCGCGGAGAATACTTCGAAAAACAATAAATACATTTTTAAATAGTAATGTTGTGTCACTTCCTTGATTCCCGAAATTTTCAGTGCCGCCCTCGAATTATTTGTAATCTATATTGAATAACAAAGTTTCTGTTTCTGTTTCAATGTCCTTACAATTTTCTTCCACATAAAATAATAATTCTCCTCAGCTATTTTCATTCAGGTTTTTTAATACAAAGGGTTATTTTTAAAGAGTAGACAAATTTTAAACTTCAATTTAAATATATGAATAATGATATACCGTTATTGCGGTTTTTAAAAGTACGAGCAAATAAGACTTCTACTTTAATTTGAAATTGTTCCAAATTGAATGTGATTTATGGCCAACAATGTTTTTTTCCTACCGATCAACCCCTACGAAAGTGTGCGTGCGCAGTAAAATCAATTAAAATAATGCATTGCCACGCATTTTGAATTAAAAAAATAAAAAGAACAGAATGTGAGATTTTTTCAAATTAATATATCTTGACCATTTGCCTATATTATATAATCTGAATCTTTTTCGCAAATTTGGTTCGTTATTGCAAAATAACCATGTATACTTAAATTTATTTATTTATAAAAAATAATAATTATTCCTAATGAGTGCTTATTTAGTATCCTTACAAATACATTAATTGCCTTGTATTTCGAGTCGTGCGTAATGTAGGTCTATAAAATCAATAATGGAATGTCGCTCAAATCAATGTTCGACCTTTTAGCAGGCTCTCCTTTCGAATGCTGCTATCCTTCTAACTTAAATTACATCTTATTGCGTCTGAGTACCGTTTAATTTAGATTAATGTACATTTCACTGCAGGGTGTGTTATATCATTAAGAATATCATTAACACGAACTTTAAAAAGCCCTTATCAAATATCAGGGCTTCATTTTGATTTTAATGTTAATTGGTTGAATTGCCTCTCCGCTGTTTCCGTGTTTTAAAACTCTTTCGAAATATTGTATGTTGGAGTTAGCGTGAGTAATTTAAAACTTCACCGTACTGAGTCACTGACCGCATGATGCGTAATATAGTAAATTTAAATTATTAATCTTTTTATATGCAACTCGGACTGTCTGTATGAATAATATTTTTCGCTATTTGTTAGGTGGCGAAATCTTTTTTTAACAAGTAAATGTGAACAAACCAATACACAGATCACCTGATGTCCAGAATCTAGGTGTATATTGTAGCCCATAAGGACTAACATCTATCCTGAATAAGGAATTTTTCCCCGATTAGATTAAACCAAAATGCAGATGAGTTTTCACCCTTGAACCCTAAGATGAAATGCTTATTTATCAGTAATATAGACGCGTTACTACTACGTATTCTGTGAGAGAGAGAGTTGCCCTTCCGCAATCGAGTCGTCCCAACTCTTATACTGCAGTGTTTCAACCACGTAATATCTTCTCGATATTAACTGAACAGTATTATATATATGTGCGTAGAATCGTATTATTTTATATAGTTCCGCAAGTGATGCCTACGCTAAGACATTAGTCTAACGGGGTTAACCTAGTTTACTTTCTACGATGGTAATTGAAACATATAATGATATAATAAATAAAATATCATAAAATCAACGATAAGAGACGCGACTTTGCCGTAAGATACGTCATTCCCATTCATTTTTATACTTTTCTATTAGCGTGAACGTTTGTAGTAAGTCTACTTGACTAATCCCGATGAAGCGTGATAAGACTTCGATGTCAATATCATGATGTATTTTTGTCTTGGCGTTACAGAAATTCTAAAATAATTATCTCGAAAAATACTAGCGTAATTTGTAAACTACTAGAATTTGAAAAAAAATCCTAGGTTTTAACCTCGAGGTAAGTCTATAGCTCCGAAATTAAGGTCTATCTTTACGTCTATGGGGATATTGATGAAGCGGTTCATCAGTTTATCCTAAAATGTTTTAGATTGTATTAATAAAAACTGTTGACTTTTCTATTGTTTCATGTTACCTAACTTAAATTATAATAAAATACCGAGGGAATAAGAAAAAGTTTCTCAATTTGGGCAAATAAAAATAAAATAATATTTGAAAGCGGTGTCATGATTTAAAATTAGTATTATGAATGTTCTGCCGACTAAAGTAATCAGATGAAGGCATTAGACCTACAATGGTTCATTAAAAAAGCCAAGTATGGATAACAGCCGGCCAACCGGATGATCACAAGAAAAGTTTCTGAGGGAAATAATCTTATGTTTCCTTGTTACTTGTTTCGGTCTTACCAATTAGACATGTGAGTTTCGTATCGTTCCTTTGTTTTTATTTACAGACATTTTTCGTTAGAACGGTTGAGGGATATTTTTATGAAAGTCGAAGTTTTTTTATATACAGTAGTCTCTTTGCTAGTAAAGAAATGTAATTCTATATAGCTATATTATTTATCTTACAAATTTTAATTATGAGAACCCAACCCTAGGTTGAAAAATATCAAGAATACTAAAGAAAAAAAAAATACGTTACAGTATATTTTAGACGTAAATCTTGTTGTTGTATATTATGAAGAATTATCGTACCAAAAGTTAAATTCAAAATGACTTTATTTTACTACCTTCCTGCAAATTGATTTTCAGCAAATTAGAAACTCCGCTTTCCAAACTTAGCAATTTTGTCCAGATAAAAGCTAGAATTTATTAATTTTTATTTATAACTAGATGGTTCCGGCGCGTTACTGACGCAGAATAAATAATTTTGGAAATAAAGAATTTAGAGGAGTTATTTGATTAATAATGATTATACATTCATTAACATTGAATGATATATGACTTTCAAATGTATTTGTAGGTACGATACGCGCGTCAGCTACCGTAAGTTAATTGTACTATGCTAAAAAAGTTTTATGTTTCTATTTCTGTTTCTGCTTATAAGCTTCGCGCAAGTGCAAGCATTACGATGACAAAGTTTTGACGCAATATGAATCTGAACGGTATGGCAACGCGTAATATACGAACAAATATACATTAATTTTTATATTTTAGACTATGTTCAGCAGTGGAATTACTATTTAATGTTGTGATTATTGATTTTTGTTTTTAGGGTTGGCGCAAACGCGTACCCCAGAGCGATGCGTCGCTGTTCACTGTGGCCGGTCGGTTGGAGAGGGACAAGGTCGCGACTGCGACGCCACCCCTCACTCCGCCCCCGAACCCACCGCAAGCCGTCACTCCTGGCGTACCAGCCCCAAATAAGTTTAGGTAAGCCCCAAAAATTCTTGGCGTACCAGTCCCATAAGTTTTCAGGTTATTTATTTCTATATATTTAAGACCTGGGTGATAATGTCTACTACATTATAATAAATAACTTTATCATTTAAATTTAATTTGCTTTTATTCGAAGTTACTCAAAACTTGTTCAGAAAAATATAGAGATAAATTGTATTATCGATAACAGGATACTATGACGTCATTTCCTGATTCCTATAAAATATGTTATCAAACACATATTTATATTGAATAAAACTACTTTTACGGATTTTATCGCGTTTAATTTATTTGATTTTTAATTCACGACGTTTCGGGTGCTTTCCAGCACCCATGGTCACGGGGGACTGAGGTGACTGACGTCCCGATGGGAATGTTAACCCGGAGTACCTTCAGCTTTTTAATTATTATTTATGGTCTCATCAACGCAGAATGAACTTACTGTGTCTTGAAGTCTTGCAGTAGTATACTGGGGATTAGTTTCAATTTTATTAATTGTAGGATCCCAAGCAGGTGGTGGTAGTACCCAGCCTACTTCTCTATTGAAATTAGGATGTTTTTTAATTTCGATGGCTTCACATATCATTCTTTGTATAGGAATCGATGTTCTTTTGCTAGGGTTTGTGGTCTATCAAATCTGATGTCCGTCTAGGATATGATCACAAACGTCGGGAATTAAAAATGAAGTAAAAGTAGTTTTAATCAATGGTGTAATGTTCGCGTAAAAATAAGAAATTATTACATAATTGTATTGTTTTGTATCATCGATACGTAGTTAGTACAAGCTTTTCGTTAGCGTAAAAAGTAACGGATTCTAATTGATGAATAAGCTTCACGGCCAGCACTAATAACCGAATCAGGCACTGACTTGGGAGACTATTAACTGTAATGTTTTAATTATCCACAGTTATCCGCTAATGTTGGCTTGGGCTAGACCGGCACTTAAAATTAATAAAAATAATTATATTTAATTTCCGAGTGTTCGACTCGTATTTAGGTTTTTCTATTAATTACACGTGAATTAGACTCGAATCAGAGAGTTGATATTATTTTATACAAATGAGGGGTGCCTAGCTAGCATACATTCCATTATTATGTTATCATAATATATATTTTTATGTGTACACGAATGGGTCGGCCCGACCGGGTAAGGACCACGCTCTCTCAGAATACCAGCGTACAATAGCAACTCAATGCTGCTGTATATTTCGTACGATAAGTGTAGAGAACCGAAGACCCTTTTTACTGGAAACGAGGCCTTCCATCTTTCTAGCAAAGTTAATATTCTATAAGAGCGTGGTCCTTCCTCGGTCAGTTTTACATATTCGTGCTGCATTAATTCCTGCGTAACTCTATCACGTATATTTTTTTTAAATATTTAAAGCAATTAAGTCGACGGCACCATGGCGCAGTAGCTTAGCAATGAGTTATAGCGCTGAGGGCCGCGGGTTCGAATCATTTCGAAGTATTTGTATGGCCTACAAGTAATTGTTCCGGGTTTGGATGTTTGTTCTTGTGCAATTTTTGTATGTAAACTGCCTCCACGACACAGGAGAAAATCCTAATGGTGAGGGTAATCCTAACGTTTCAGAAAAAATGAAATGAATATTATAAGGATAAACAAAGTTCACGCTATAACTTATATATATAGGTCGATTAATGGCAGTGGAGTATATCTCCTACCCCGTATCATGTCGTGGGTGTCGTAAGTGTCGACAAATAACAAAAACTGCTGTCCCAACCCGCCTGCCGAGCGTGACAGCTATGGCAAATATCTCCCCGTTAAACAATTTATGAAGGAGGCCTGTGTTCAGCCGTGAAATTTTAATAGACTGAAGGTAACGATAACGTTATACGAGTAGCCTACAATATAATATAACCTACAATCGGCGTAGATTGTAAAAGATTTATGGAGCGTTACACCCGCTGCGCTACTCCATTGTCTGTTTGCCGATTTCATGTATCCTCGAAAAATTTTAATAGTTAGACATGCAAGTTTCCTCAGGATGTTTTCACTGCCCCCCTTCACCGCCCCTTTACCGCCGAGCACGAAGCGAATAGCAAATGAATAGGCAATTAACAATTTGAATCTTAAATAAGTAAAAAAAATTAACATTACTGTAGTATGAACATAAGACATAAGGTCAGTGTTACAAAATAAACGATACTATAATGCCTACTGAATTTTATTTAGGAAAATAAATGACAAGACTTCAATAAAGCCGAGCTAAAGCCGGGTTAAAGCACAGGAGATGTTCATTATTATATTAGGTTTATTTTTTAATAAAACGTTACTGTACTAGATATTTTCCACTGTATCATGGAGGGGACTTACATGCATAAATTTTATAAGGGTACAAATATTTGTTCCGTGTGGGGTTCGAATCCGCGGTTCCAGGGCCGCAAATCATTGCTAAGCCACTACGCCATGGAGCCGTCGTATATTAATTCGCGTGCTACCAAAACGTAACCTACATGGAATGGTTATAATATAACTGAGTTCTACTTTTACAGATTTGGCACGCGATTTAGTCATTTAAATTTCCATTTCGCTATTTATCCATGGCTGGCTTTTAGAATTTAGAACGAGTGAAATGTAGAGGCTTTCGTTTTCTCTTGTATTTTATATACCTACGTAAGAAAAAATACTTATTGGCAATAGTTAATACTAAGTACCCTTTTACTTAGTTTTTTTTCTTTTTATCTCCTCAACATACTTTTGTGCACATGAGTTAACCAACCCTGATTGCTGTTTTAACGCTAAAATATGTTTGAATACAATTTTTTATATATAAAAAGTGGCAAACGAACACGCGGCTCACCCGGTAGTTAGTGAACAATTGCAACACCAGAAGAATGGTCCTTTAACAAAAGTAGGCACTTTTCTTTAAGGTCAAGCTCAAAACTCTATTTTAGTAACTACATTATAATTTATTCTTACTCTCTTGAGCTCTTGATGGCAGATGAAGAATATTTCCTCTCAGCATCAATGACACTTATGTTTTTTATAAAATTATGTCCGCAGATCCCGCAAAGCACCCACTTCGCCTACCAATGGCTTTGCTTCGGGCCCACTTCGCTCTGCTTCCTGCGCCGTGGTTGGCGCGGCCGAAGCGAAGCAGAAAGAACCCCCGCGCGTTGACCGCGAATCCTTCAAGCGAAGCCACTCCGTTAGTGAAAGCATCAGTAAGGTCGATGAGAGTTAGTATAAAATTTTTTGTCAATTTTTGTAGTTTTAAACGTTGATATTTTTTAATAAACTAAATGACATACCATATTCACTTTAAATTAAATTTTAAAGATAGTGCAGATTTGGTTGGCTAATTAAGATAAATATTAATAACCTCGATTGTCATTTGAGTACACATCTTTATAGGAACTACATTATTTAAGTTGTTATTCATTTTGAAATACAACTAGTAGTTTTTTATGTTAATACAATAAAATAGTTAATAACTATTAAAATATACCCTAATTTTAAATAGGTTCGTTAATTCCAGGCGAGGAGTCCCCTGGTGCGGAGAAGTCCGGATGTCCAGTGCGCATTCCGAAGGCGGACGACGAAACCTTCCATGCGTTTTTTGCTCCACTACAGGAGAGGGATAACGCGCCCGCAGACCTTGACCTTGATTTGGATGCTATTGATAGTGGATCAAGACAACTGTGAGGAGAAATTTTTTGTACAAAAACATAACGTTGCTGTTCGCAGCTGTACTGTGGTTGCGGTACAAATGGGTCGACTCGATCAGGGAACTACGATCGCACAGAGTACTAGCAGCACAATGCTGTGATAATGCATATGCATTATGGTTCGGAAACTTTATACTTGTAGTTGTCTATAGACCAGAGCATTCACTTGCCATCAGGTAGATTGAGCAATAAGCGAGGCATCTATCGACTTCCATGTATGTTTTATTAGGTCGTAACTCCATCAGTAGTCATCTCATTTCATCCTATCTCCTATGGCCGGCCCATTGACACTTCAGCCAACTCTGGTCCTGCTTCGGCAATGTGAAGTCTATCACGCAGGGAAATTCAGAGCGTAGCGCCCTCCCTAGGTCATTGATCGACCTTTAGCCAGAAGAAGTCTTTTCTTTTCTTTTGTAGTGGATACTGTTGCATTGTTTACGTGACGGTTGTTCTTTACAATTTTTTTTGTATAAAATCTTTGGTACAACAAATAATAAAATAAATAAATGCGTCGTCTTCCCTGAGTACAAATATGGAATGTCTCGTATTCAGTGAAAAGGGTCTCCGGTTCTCTACATTCACCATATAAAACACAGCAGCATTAAGGTGGTACTCTGTGAGAGCGTGGTTCTACCCCGGTCAAGTCGGGCTATTCGTAAAGTTAAAAAAGTAAAGTTACAGCCTATATACGTCTCACTGCTGGGCACAGGGCTTCTCTCATTTCTGAGAGGGTGTTAGGGCAAGGAATTGTCCACCGTGCTGGCCCAATGCATGTTGGCGAACTTCACATGTCTTCGACATATATTATTTTCTTATTTCTCAGACATACAGGTTTCCTTACGATGTTTTTCTTCACCGTAGAAGCATGTGGTAAATCAGCACATAAAATTGCAATTAACAATTTAATTTTTGTAGGCGGCCTGCACGCTGCTTTTAACGGCTGTGAACTTTATTGCTTGCGTACTATGAACCCTCTCCCGCCTTGAAGAGCTGTGGTGGTAGCTCAGGTGGTTAACGCTCGCTGTAAATTTAATAGTACGCGAGCAAACCGGGTTTGATCCGGCACCAACAAAATTATTAATTGCAATTTTAAGTGCTGACTAACCACGTGCTTTTGGCGGTGAAGGAAAACATCGTGAGGAAACCTGCATGTCTGAGAAATAAGAAGAAAAATATTTCGAAGACATGTGAAGTTTGCCAACACGAATCGGGGCAGCGCGGCGTACACTTCTTGATCCTAAACAATTCACAGAAATGACAGAAGGTCTGTGCTAAGTAGTGGGACGTATATAGGCCGTAACATAACTTTTTTATTTTTACTTTGCCCCTGAGCTACCACGGCTCTCCATTCGACCCATTCGTGATATAACTCTCTCTACGTATAGTTTGTTTGACGCGGTAGGCTGGCGAGCGAGTGGACGCGGCGTGCGAAACGAGAGCGACGTCACGCGGCGTCGCGTAACCCGCTGCGTGCACTGGCGGCGCGCACCGACCTGCGCGACGAGTACCGCGCGCAGCCCTGCACGCTGCGCGACCAGCTCGTCAAAGAGAGAGGTGCGTCTGGCACTGCTTAAGTTACTTATTATAGTTTATATTTAATTGTTTTACAAAATTGATCTCCAATTAAAATATCTAAAGAAGTTGCTCAAAGTGGCCACCTTCAGCTTGTAGACAAGCTAAAGCTCTATGTGCCACCTGAGTTGACGAGCGCATAATCATTTCTAAATCAGATCTTATAGTGCCAGTTGTCACTAAGCAAAGGCCTTTTGTGTTTGCGCATACGCTATGTTCAAACAACAATAATTTTTAAAATATTACCATACAGCTGTAAACTTTATGTTTTATTGTAGCTTAACTCAAAATCTGTCGAACTAGTAAAAAAATAAAAAGGGTAAACGGGGTTGTTTTTGCAGTAATGTACAATAATTTGCCGATTAGCATAATTTTTTGATATTTATTTGAAGTAAAATTTTTTTTAAAAGTTACGAGTATATGAACAATTTTTTTTGGTAATGGAAACGATAGACAATATTGTTGTCCTTCGAATGAGCTAATTTTTATTTCAGTAAGACCAAAACTTTGAGGGATATGAATATTTTTGTGAACACGTAGAGAATATCTCTAGAAAAAAAAATGGCTGCCACATAGAGGGGGAGGGGATTAGACCTCAGTGTGTAGTGTATTTTTGTATTAAAATAGCTGTATTATAAGTACCTAGAATATCGCTAGTCCGTGACCGGACACACTGTACAGCTCACGCGCACCAACCTGCGCGACGAGTACCGCGCGCAGCCCTGATCACTGCGTGACCAGCTCGTCAAGTAGAAAGGTGCATCTATGTCTATCGATCAGCTTCGGTAACTTTTACCACTAGGGCGGCACCACCTTAATCCTCCTTTTTTTTAAACGTTACAGAAGAGAATCCTAATGTGGAGGTACCACATTATGATTTTTTCTGTATCGTGGGGTCAGTTTTCATACATAAATTTCACAAGGACAATCATCCTGACCTGGAACAATTATTTGTAGGCCATATAAATACTTATTCCGTGCGGGATTCGAACCGAATCCGAATGTGTTATATTATGTACAAAAAATACAAATAATTATTTCAAATTAGTAAGAAAACCTTATTTTCTTACAGCGACCGCAAATTGCGGCTTAGCAGCTGAAGCGTTGGCTGCGTTGGCTAGCAAAGAAGATTTTTCTAACGTTGCTTTAAGAAGTGCGTCCTCTACCACCATCCCAAGCCAGGGCACCAAGCCGCTGATGTTACTTCACGTTAAGGGACGAAGAAGAGTGCAGGTAAACTTTCAGCAAATATCAGATATTGGCGTTGCAAAGAATTAAATATTCAAAAATGATAATGTTTGTATGGCTATAGAAGTTATTACGTTTGAGGCAATTTCATCCCATACTTTTTACTAAAGGTTTAATTTTAAGCCCGTATAATAATGTGCTATACTTTTTACTAAAGGTTTAATTTTAAGCCCGTATAATAGTGTGCTGTGTAAGAGAATCTACCATGTCGATATCGAAAGTGCTCCCGGAAAGATTCCCATGGCATCTGATTTATGTCGATTTAACGAACTCGTATAATATTTACCATCATTACTGCCTGTCAAAAGTCAACAGGCTTCCCCCATAAATTATCTCATAGGGTTGATATTTGCTTGGCAAGCGGGGTGGCAAGAGTAGTTTTTCTTTTAATTCAGTTGTTATCAGGAAGATTGTTGCCCATCTCCCGGTTCAGTTTCCCTGGGTCGCCTCAATGTTTTCGTTGATATTTCAATTAATTGCTCTTTTCCAGACGAGACTCGTGGAGCCTGTGCACTCGAACGTAAATCGCGGTGATTGCTTCCTACTGGTTACTCCCGATCAAGTTTTCTTGTATATTGGACTTTATGCAAATGTAATCGAGAGGTGAGCTTTGATTGGTTTACTATACGTGACGTAATATACTTGTAAAATATTTTCTGATTATTATAGCTATAGTCAACCAAATCTAAGAAATACCTTTGACGTTTCACATTAATCATTCCGCAATAACTTTGCACAAGCGTACTCACACGATTTAAAATAACCTTTTACGTAAATCCGAAGAATTATGAAGTTATCCATATTTCATTACAACGTGTATAGTTTTTTATCACTTATTTAAATTTGATTTTTCAAACAAAGCAAAATATTAAAAATAACCAGTATTAATTTTTTTTACTTGACGTCGTTTCAATGACATGTCGCTATGTATATTACCGTAGTGTTTGGATAATGAAAATTCATTGTTATGCGAATAATCGGAAAAATATTTAAATAATCGGTAAAAATATTGTAATAATCGAATCATTAATTTCTTTAATGTATTATTTGTTTAATTTAATTTTAATTTCAAAATTCCTTAAACTACATGAATCATGAATAAAACAAGTTTATTTTTTTCACTTTGTCAAAGTAAATTTTTGTAGGAAAAAAACTCATATACAAGGTCGTGCTTAAATAACCACTACATAATTTCAATATCCAGCCATTTCTGTACCAGTTACTCAACTCCACAGAATCAGTAATTCATTCTTGAGGCGATGTATACACTTTTATAACAAAATGCCAGAAAATATACAAAATTTGACGTAAATACACAAATTTCAAAAACTTTATTAAACTAAGTTTGTATAAAAAGGGTTATTTTAATATTGAGGAATTTATGTGTGATCCCCTGGGAAGGGTGATCGCTACCAAGCTATTTCTAATTTGTTTTGTGTTGTTAATTGTAACACGCATGATTGTAAGCTCTTATTTTTTTTTTAAACCAGTCCCGTTGGGTTTCTTGCTGGTTCTTCTCTGGACAGAGGTTTTTTTTTGCGAGCCAGGGGTAAATGAAAAAAGTGACTTTCAATAAGTATTATTCATCATCTATATTGAATAAAAAAGTTTCTGTTTCGAGAGCTTACTGTGCGTAATTTTGTAATTTTGTGTTTGTCTTCTTATTTTGTAACTCGGCTTTAACTTTTTGGGACTGTTTCTTCTATAATAACTTATTGTACGTGGTAGAGCCACGCTACATATATATTATAGTTGTAGCACGAATGGGTCGGCTCAACCAGGGCAGGACCATACTCTCACAGAATACCAACATAAAATAGCAGCGTAATGCTGATGTGTTTCATATGGTGAGTGTAAAGAACCGGAGACCCTTTTTACTGGAATCGAGGCATTCCATCTTCGTCCTCAGGATTGACAACGCATTTGCATTTCGATTCTTAATTGAGGATAAATGTGTATGTCTATGGGCCACGGCATCCACTTACCATTAGGTGAACTGTGTGCTCGTTTGTCACCCAATGCTATAAAAAAATTCGTTGAAGCGTGTGCCCATGTCACAAAGGAAGACTAAAAGTAAAAGTGGTAGAAAAAATAAAAAATGATTATGGATGACTTTGAAAGAGACATTAATTTTGACTGTATTATTGAAAATCAAATAATAATTAATGTAAACAACGACATGCCTACTAGTTGTACTGAAAGTGATTGGAATAAATTTATTTTTAATCTAGTTTCAATCTTAAATTTTTATAACTGTGCCTCTAGATTGTACTAGAGTACAATCTGCCACTTTGCCTGGCGTATGTGGACTATGAGAAAGCCTTTGATTCCGTCAAAATTTGGGCGGTGCTACAGTCTCTTCAGCGGTGCCAAGTCTGTCGAAGTGCTGAAGTGTTTGTACAGTAAGGCTACGATGGCTATCCGAGTACAGAACCAGAGTTTGAAGCGTATCCAACTGCAGAGAGGTGTAAGACAGGGTGACGTTATATCCCCGAAACTCTTCACCGCTGCGTTGGAAGACGTTTTCAAGCTATTGGACTGGAAAGGATACGGTATTAACATCAATGGCGAGTACATCACTAACCTTCGATTTGACGACGATATAGTCCTTATGGCAGAATCGCTGGAGGACCTAAGCACTATGCTCAATGACCTCAATGGTGTCTCCCAACGGATAGGTCTTAAGATGAACATGGACAAAACAAAGATCATGTTTAATGTCCATGTCACACCTATGCCGGTAGTTGTTGGGAGCACTATGCTCGAAGTTGTTGACGAGTACGTTTACCTGGGACAAATAGTCCGACTAGGTAAGTCCAAATTCGACCGAGAGGTCAATCGACGGATTCAACTCGGCTGGGCAGCGTTCGGGAAATTACGACACATCTTAACGTCAGGTATACCTCAATCTCTAAAAACTAAAGTGTATAACCAGTGCGTGTTGCCAGTGATGACTTACGGATCAGAGAGGAGGTCCTTCACCGCTGGCCGTATGAGGACGCTCAAAGTCGCTCAGCGAGCTAAGGAGAGGGCTATGCTCGGAGTTTCTCTGCGTGATAGACTCAGAAATGAGGATATCCGCAGTAGAACCAGAGTGACCGACATAGCCGAACGGATTAGTGGGCTGAAGTGGCAATGGGCCGGCCATATAGCTCGAAGAACCGATAACCGATGGGGAGGAAAGGTTCTCGAGTGGCAGCCTCGTACCGGTAGGCGTAGTGTAGGGCGACCCCCCACTATATGGAATGACGACCTGGTAAGACATGCAGGAAGTCGATGGATGCAGGTGGCTCAGGACCGTGCTTTGTGGCGTTACTTGGGGGAGGCCTATGTTCAGCAGTGGACTTGTGAAGGGCTGTAATGATGATGATGATGATGATGATGTGCCTCTAGAAATAAGCAGTAACAACAAATACGAAGAAACTGATAAATCTTGTGTTATATATTGTCCGTTTTTAATTTATTTTGGTATTATTCAAACCAAACTGTAAATGATTTCGATATCGATTTTTTTAAGAATCGAATATTGTACGTTCCCATTTTTTGGTTGGCATGCTTGATGCAATAAGTCTGACAGCTGTCAAAATGTATTTCTTAGATTTGGTTGACTATAGAATATTTAATTTGGCGATAAATGTTTTAAAAAAATTTGCCTTCCCATATTATTTTTATATCTCGTGGACTCGGACTAAAAGTGGCGGAAAGTTACAGCATATATACGTCCCACGGCTGGGCAAGGGCCCGATTTCTGTAAATGTAATGGAACTGGTGGATGGTCCGCCTCGCTGCTCCAGTGAGATGTTTGTAAAGTCGACTTCAAAATATTTTATACCTCAGATGTGCCGGTTTTTTCACCATGTTTTCCTTGCAGGCGAGTGGTAAATTAGCACTTAAAATGGTTAAAATTTACATCGTTATGGATAAGCATCGAATCCGAATTGCTCACATATTGCTATATATACCGCGAACTCTTAGCCCCTGAGCTACCACTGCTCCCTCGGATATAACCTTCTTATGTTTTTGTATAACAATCCATGTTATGCTGATGTACAGATTGACAGACAACAGCGTTAGAGTAAAGTGTGCGATCGCCAACTGATCCTCCTCTAGAGGGAGTTCAGCAGGAGATTAATTACTTATTAATTATTTATATTTATTTATTTAATCTTTTATACGCATATACACACCTTATATTGAGGAATTTAAAGGGCGGACTTAATGCCATATTACAAGCTTTGCTAGTTAACTTTGGATGATTTGACAAACTGGGGCAGGTGCAAACAATGTACTTAATTAAATAAGTTATTAAGAAATAAGGTACTATAAAATGTAGATAAATAGAATTTTTTAAAATCATTGCTTTAAAATCCTTTCAGTAATAAGAGGAGGCCTGTGCACAGGGGGGATAATATAGACTGTAACTTTGAAATAGAATTAAATATACGTGCATAATACAAAGTGACAAGGTGGGTTAATAAATAAATAATGTGAACAGACACTAGTATACAAAATGTTTAAATAAATAAACAGTTGCTAGGCCTAGCATAAAACATCAAGGGTAAGGTTTATAATCTACGAACACTTAACCCTATAGAGACGTAATATAAGGCGACCCGAACCTGTCAACTCGTCAGTGACTAGTCACTGATATATTTTGGAAGACTTTTGTTTCCCGCCAGTTGCGACCAAAAACTAGAACCGAAGAGACGGCTTACATTTAAAATATAAATTAAAATCAATTTAAATAAAAATGTTGAAAATATTTTGGTAAAATAAAGAAATGTACTTACCGATGGAAAGTAAAATTGTTTGTTATTACACTAAATGTTTTACTGTTGTATCCGCACCATTTAACGGCACAACAGGACATGATGCCGAAAATTGATTTTAATATACATATATTTTACATGTAAGCCGTCTCTTCGGTTCTAGTTTTTGGTTGGAACTGGCGGGAAACAAAAGTGTTCCGAAACATATCAGTGACTAGTCACTGACGAGTTGACAGGTTCGGGTCCCCTTGTATCACGCCTCTATAGGATTAAGTGCTCGTAGTATAGCGATTTCCTTTAAGTGACTTTAAGGTACTCTAAGTAAGATGCTCATGTTCAGCAGTGGCGAGTCAAAAGGCTGTAACCTACGAGCACTTAACCCTTTACAGAAGAACAATTATTCCCGGAGTATACACATCAATTTTACGCCGAAGAAACCAATCATATTATTGATTTAACGAAAAGTGTAATGAAGAAATATATTGACACAAGAATGACATTTATACTTTAAAATCAAAATTGGAAGGAAAACGTGCAGTTAGGAGAATATATACAAAATTAATCTCAATAATACAAAAAATAAAAATCAATAATAGTACTTAGTAAAATAAATATAATAAATAAATGTGAAAATCTTTTTAATTCTCTTTTCAACCTTTCCGTACTGTCTCGTAGTGCCTCGACCTTGAGCCGAACTACCTTGCGTATCTCCTACGGGGCCTTTTTTATAGGAAATGGTGACAAACGAGCACACAGTATACCTGATGGTAAGTGGTTGCTGTGGCCCATAGACATCTACATCTATCCTCGATTACGAATCTAAATGCAGATGCGTTTTCATCCATGGGGGCCGAGATAGAATGCCTCGTTTCCAGTAAAAAGGGTCGCCGGTTCTCTACACTCACCATACGAAACACAGCATTAAGCTACTTTTTTACGCTGGTATTCTGTGAGAGTGTGGTCCTTCCCCGGTACAACTATACTACTAATATAACTAACTACAGCATGGCTCTACCACGTATTAAATATTTTAATTTTTTATGTTAAAGTTCAACAAATCACTAAAAGTTTATTTTAAACTCCTTTAATTTAATCTTGATTTTTTTCGAAGTTGGCATTTATATGTTATATTTTATTTATATTTTACCTTAGAATACTGCTTGAAAATGTTAGTACATTTAAAATTGCATTTCTTAGTTTGCACAGGAAAATTGAAGTCACAGTCAAAAGCTAGTTACTGATACTGAAAGCATGTATTAAAAATGCGAAAAAATTTATCAATTTCGATAGAAAGCATAAAGTCATTACAATGCACGCCCTAGCGATCGTGTTCGGAATCTCTTCGGAATAGTTCGGAATACTTCGCAGCGATCACAACTCCCCCCGCACCGCAACTAGTTGACAAAATTGTTTTCTTTTAAATTCACATGTATTACATCTCTATAGGGTTAAGTGCTCGTAGTTTATAATACATACGAAATATCTCACACCTTATTTATTTATTATTTATACCTACCTAATTAACTTAAGATTATTTTAAATGCTTAGTGCCCATAGAAAGTACAATTGGCGGATTAAATGCTTTTTAGGAAATTCTCTGTAATCTATCACTATTATTATAATTAGGCCAACGTTGAATAAATTTTTATGTTTTTCAGGAACCGAAGCACAGACATCGCTTTACATATCCATAACACAAAAGATCTCGGTTGCAAAAACTCTACAGGGGTAATTAAGATCGACGAACAAACCAAAAACTATTCCAACAAACATTGGAACCAATTCTGGTCACTTCTCGGCGTCACCGAAGATATTGAAAACTATAAACCAATCGAAACGGGACATGCAGATGAAGACGAGATATTCGAATCGTGTATCGTCCAAACCAACATGTGCTATGAAGTGATAGACGATGAGCTGGTGCCAATAAAGGAGTATTGGGGCCAAGTCCCAAGAATCGCTATGTTGAATCAGTCGAAAATAATCGTTTTCGACTTTGGTTCCGAGATGTATATATGGTATGGAAAGAATGTCCCTCTAGAAAGTCGAAGACGAGCGGCGCAACTGGCTCAGGAGTTGTTCGACGATGGCTACAATTATGAGGAATGTCACATTAACCCACTGAACGCAGCTGTCTACCAAGGCGCTAGAGAAGAAGCGACAAGTCCACTTGTAAAAGCGTCGAAATCCAGACCCGAATGGGCGATACTGTCCAAAATAACCCAACACATGGAGACGATATTGTTCAAAGAGAAATTCCTCGACTGGCCAGATTACAGTCGAGTTATCAAAGTGAAGCCGCAAGAGAACAAATCGAACAGCGTCGAGATAACACCTTGCGATGCCGAGGAGATGTGGTCGAACGAATATGAAGATCCCGATCTGGTACTAGAAGGTTCTCATCTCGGACGTGGCACTCACTACTACGATAAGGATACCATGCGGCATTATGATATCAAGACCAAGTCAGTGTGCAAATGGTTGATACAAGAATATGACTACCAGAAAGTTGAAAACGACTCTGAAGTCGGAGAATTCTTCTCAGGCGATAGCTATATTATTAGATGGGAATATCAGGTTACGGTTACCGGTAGAGAGTTGAATGGAAAACCTTCCAAACACAATTTAACAGGAAGAGATCGCTGCGCGTACTTCTGCTGGCAAGGCAGAGACGCGTCGTCCAGTGAAAAAGGCGCCGCTGCCTTGTTGACTGTTGAATTGGACAAAGAAAAAGGACCTCAGGTTCGAGTCGCTCAAGGAGCCGAGCCTCCCGCCTTCCTCAATCTTTTCCAAGGGAACCTGATAATCCACCAAGGCAAAAAGGGAATCGATAAGAGCCGCTACAAACTATTCGTCACGCGCGGGAACGTGTCCAACGAGGCCTACCTACTGCAAGTGCCGTGTTCGGTCAGACAGTTACGTAGTCGTGGATCGCTACTCTTAATTGACACGGAGAAAGGTTACCTTTATATCTGGCATGGGAGTAGAAGTCTGAAACACACAAAGAACGTCGCCATCGAGTTAGCGAATAAACTGATAGCGCGTAAATCGAATTATTTATTCGGTGATAATGCTTCAGACATCAAAATAACCGAAGTTAAAGAGGGCGAGGAGCCCAAGGAAGTGCTGGAAGCGTTGGGCGTGGCAAATAAGCAGTATTATAATTCGATGCTATCGGGTAAAGAAGCGAACTGTGACGTGACGTTAAGACTGTTTCATTTCACGGACTTGGGCGGTCAGTTCGAAGCCAACGAGGTCCTGTCGCCGTTGCGCCACGAGCATCTGGTGACACCCTTCCCTTTTGAACAAAAGGAGTTGTATTCGGCTTCGCAACCCGGTAAGTTTATTCTTCTAAATTTTAACATTTTCGATGTTTATACTATCTATCTATAGATCCCTAAACGATACAGCGTCAGGAAGAGATAATCCATGTTAGGTATTATTATATTACGTCAAGCGACATTAACGCATTTTGCCTGTACCTTTGCTTGTAAGACTCCAATTTAATTTGTCACCTACCTAATATCACGCCATAAAACATCCCTTAAAATAAATAAATTCTTTAAAAGTTAAACTATTTTGTTTGCATTCTAACAAAATAGTTATTGTATTTGACCTATTTGATATCTAGAGTTGACTAACGCTGTGTGATTTTGATTTTCAAAATAGGGTATTTTACTCATTTTCAAACATTTTAAATGAATCCTAGAGTGATAATGAACCACTATAATTTTTATATAATTTTTTTAAAACTGAATAGTGCCATAAAAATTACTTTTAATCTATCGTTTTAAATTTTCGCGTGAAAACGCTAGCCGCCATGTTGTTCATGCGTGGAAGTATTGTGTTTTTGTATAAACAAAAGTTGGTAAGAGGTACTTACACTGATGTTTCCGAATTTTATTGAAAAGGCATCATGGAAGACGAATTCGTAAAAGCAGACAGTACTAATCTACCAAGGATAAATAAATTGATGGTGGCAAAAATTTTTTCATGCAATCCCAATTTTATTAATATATAATAATACCTATTACCAACTTTTGTTTATACAAAAACAATACCAGGTCAGAGTGTATTTAGATAAAATATGGTTTAGTAGCTATCATAGTTTAGTTTATCTATAATTACAATCATTAGCAATCATTAGTATAATATCTAAGATAAAGTAATTTATTACAAAATTTGAGCTCAAAATGTTTTATTTTCTATAAACGATAGTTAAATATAAGTCATACATCCAAATTATCTTCACAGACGTATAGACTAGTTTTTATAGACAATATATAAGTATTTTGGTATCTTCTTGCCAGTTTTAACCAAGTATTTTTCATATTTAAATCAATTGGCACTTGAATCCATAACTGTCTCGGCGTTCTTAAGCTCGTCTTTTTGCATTCAGGCACAACACAACAATGATTGATGATAAATGATGTCTCATTATTAAGGGGAAATATAATGTAAATGGCTTAGCAAGATCCTTCGTTATGCCGAAAATATTGCAGCATTAATTTTGAAATAAATATATGGTAAAGTTGAGGATTATAGTTAGTGATTATGTTAGACGAAAACACGATTTCGTAAAATTTTCTCGATAGAAAAAAATCCAAAATAAACAATAAACCGCTGTTATTCATAAAATACTTTAAATAAGATCATGAAACTTTGCATACTAATTGAACTAACTATAAAGCAGTGCTTATGTTATTTACTTTTTTTAAAATACCATTATTTTCACTGTAAAAAGAAATTACCTAAACTATCGGCGCGTAAGCTTGGTTCCTGTCGCTCCGTTAGTATTGCTCCGGCTTTTGAAGGGAGAAGTTGTGTCGCTTACGATCAGAAAACACATTACGCAACAGGAAGACGTAAAATTAAAATGGGAAATAACCGTTATAAAAATAAGAAGCGACTGGGTTGGCGTTAAGAAACAGGCATATATATGATAAACATAATGAAATAAGTATCTAACGACCTATCTACTTAGAGTATTAGTGATTACAAACATGTCGGTACATAGCATACGACGCGCGGGGAAGTGGGGGGCGAAATTAGAATTTGAGCTGACTTACTCTCACTTATTAAACATTAAATAGTATCTTATTTCTTTGCAAATTCGGCAAAATTCTAGGGCAGTGACGTCACGAGTTGAACAGCATAGCGGTTACGATTCGGTTTAAAAAAAATTATATAAATATTATAGTGGTTCAGTATCACTCTAGGATACACTATTTGAAAATGGGTGTAATAATACCCTATTGTACCTATAAATGAATCGAATACACCTAAGTTTAATCAAGTAGTGTGTGTATGTGTATTAGTTTTTATAAATCTGGGTGTTACCAACGCCGCGAACGTCAATAAATAACATCTTTATGTAATAAATAGATAATATTAGCCTACGCTCAAAAATATACCTTAGTTTAGCCAGATAATCGTAAGTTTATTATTTACACTAACATTAGCCGTAACATATATAATACTTTTTTAATGTACATACATTAATTTATTGTGTTTTATTATTACAGCTTTATTCCTGGTGGACGATGGACAGGCGGTGTGGCTGTGGCAAGGCTGGTGGCCACGAGGTGAAGATGGCGAGCTGGAACCGGCCGAGATTAATGCCGGTAATTATCACTTGCGTTGTTTAATTAGTTAATTGACAGTGTGGTAAAGACTTATAAGTTATGTGTCCTCGTTAAAATTAAGAAACTGGGTTGTCAAAATTAGCTTTAATATAATAGTATTATTAAATTAATTTGAACGATGTAAGTCACATGTGCACAAATTTTTAAACGCTATTCAATTTTAAGCTGTCGTTAAGTTTCGTGGTGTCTTTATCACTTTAAGACATGACGAGACTTAGGCCCGCAAGGTTAATCAACCGCAAGAGTCCATAGAAGAGGAGATAAAACACCACCTTGTGGGCAGCCTCTTGTAGTTGCAACCGCAATCGACGTTTGAAACAGCGCTCTTTTTGGCTTTCTAGTTTAGAGCATCGATTTCACCCACCTGATGGTTGTGGGGTCAACATTTTTAGTTGTTAGACTCCTAATCAGCAGTGGTGTGTGGCTAATGTCGAAGGCGCCCTCAATATCTAAAAAGGCACAAAGAGCTATTTCTTTATCATCCAGTGCTTTTTCGACCCTGTCAATAAAACTAATCAGTTCTGTTTCCGTAGATTTGCCTCTGCGTAACTCTCGTAACTAGAGCTACATAACTTATATATCTATCTATAACCTTTTAAAATGTCTTAAGAAGAAAGGAATATAGGCTTATAAGTCTAAAGGACTTTGGTAAAGTGTAGTCCTTTCTATCAGCCTTAGGTATAAATAGAACTTTGACAATTGTCCATCGTTCTGGAATATATCCCCATGCAAAACTTGCTCTGAAGATTTTCCTCAGATAAGGAAGAAGTATATCGATCGATTCCCCTCTGTAGTTGGATGGGAATTATTCCATCCTCCCCGCTTGTTTAAAATTGTTTAAAGGAGTCAATAGCCCACTGCACCAGGTTTGGCCTTATTATCTTTGCAGTCCTACACAGGGCTCTGAAAGAATTCAAGGCAGAATTCTTATGTGACCCTGGGAAATGGGTTAATGCTAGTAACTCCAATGTTTCTGTTTCACTATTAGTGAAGTTACCATCAGGATTTTTAAGAAGCCTGATCTGATTAGGTTTAGCTTTCGATAGCATTTTCTGTAGTCTTGCACTGCGAGGCAAAGACTCACCTTCCTCGCATAGCTTCCTCCAGGATGCTCTCTTGGCTTTCCTAATTTCTTTATTATATTCAGTTAGGGTTGCCCTATAAATATCCAACTCTGTTTTTTTTTTGCCCTATTAAATAGTTTCCTGGTCTTTTTCCTAAATTCTTTTAGCTTAGTATTCCACCAAGAAACTTTTCGTGTTGAGTTTTGAATGAACAGTGAACGGAGAAGTCATCAGAATTACTTTGGCGATCAACACGATCTGCGCTCTCCCCCAGAGTCATTCAGTCTCATTGATAATGTCAAGATGTTACGGAGTAGACCAACCCCCGCCCGAATGATATGTAACTAAACAATTGAAAGTATTTCAGTTTAGACCTTTAAAAAAGAAGTATGTATGTATTTTTATAAGTATGCTTATATCTACTAAGTAACCTTGGGCCAGTTTTTATCATGTTTTTATAAACGATTGTTGTACACTGTCGAGGGGGGAAATCGGAAGAAAAATAATATACGAATTCCTATTATCCACGCTGCCTGGAGTGGATAAACGAACACGCGATTTCGAGTATATCAGAGAAACCTAACCACCACTACCTACCTAACGGTAAACGATAAACGGAATAGGCCCGTTTGAGTATTTGGGCGCGAGTGAGGGTGTTATGGATATGTATACCTCAATCTCTGAAAACTAGATTGTACAACCAGTGCGTGTTGCCAGTGATGACTTACGGATCTGAGACGTGGTCCTTCACTGCTGGCCGTATAAGGACGTTCAAGGTCGCTCAGCGAGCTGTGGAGAGGGCTATGCTCGGAATTTCTCTGCGTGATAGACTCAGAAATAGAATAGAGGATATCCGCAGTAAAACCAGAGTGACCGACATAGCCCAACGGATTAGTAAGCTGAAGTGGCAATGGGCCGGCCATATAGCTCGAAGAACCGATAACCGATGGGGAATAAAGGTTCTCGAGTGGCAGCCTCGTACCGGTAGGCGTAGTGTAGGGCGACCCCCCACTAGATGGAGTGACGACCTGGTAAGATATGCAGGAAGTCGATGGATGCAGGTGGCCCAGGACCTTGCTTTGTGGCATTACTTGGGGAGGGTCTGTGTTCAGTAGTGGACTTGTGAAGGGCTGTAATGATGAATGAATGATGATGAGGATGTTATGGCAGGTGTGGGCGCGTTTGCGGCGCGCTGGCAGGCGCTGCGGCTAGCAGCGCTGCGCACGGCCGACGCGTACGCACGCACTGCGGCCGCCGCGCAGCCCGCGCGTGCGCACACCGACGTGAGCCTGGTGGCCGCCGGCCTCGAGCCCAGCGCCTTCGCGCACCTCTTCGACACCTGGCAAGAGCACGATCAGGCCGCCGAGGCCAACATTGCGGTCAGTACACACGCTACCAATGCTCTACACTCACTTCCATCCTCGTGTACTTATTATAAAGAAATAAAATATAAATTTATTTTTATGAAATACTATCTGGTCTCGGCGCATTGCTGTCGCAAAAGAATAGATTGTGAAAATATCGTTTGTAAGCTTTATATTGTTTAATTAAGAATGATAATACATTCATTAAAATTTAATGATATAACTTTCAAATAACTTTGTAGGTACGATAAACGCGCCTCTTTACTGTAAATTAATTATACTATGCCTATATCCTTTGCCAACTACATGCAATAAGTTGACAGTTTTAGCGTAATTTTATAAATGGTATAGCAGCGAATAAAATACGAACAAACAGAAAAACAATCATAAATATTATATAATAGATTACAACTATTAACACACTATAAACATTTTATTGTTTGATACTATGTTATTAACAAAATGTAAACTTTTGTTAATAACTGTTAATAACTTAGTATCCTCACTTCCTTGGAATTCACGTGCGGTGAAGTTCTTAAAAGAACTGTATCCGCTAATCACTGCCTGTGATAAGAGGGCTGATTCTTTTCTCTAAGCTCTAAGGCATTCATCAACAAAACACAACCAGATTTCTTGATAGAACACCACGGTAAATAATACTGTGTAATAGTTTTATCACATTCGTTTTGAAAATTGTATATATTTCGATGTATTTTACAAATTACAGGGTAATTATTTAGAACTGTGTTATATAATGGCTTGGAGCTTTTATACTTTTTGGTTATGGGAAAATGGTTTATATTATAAGAAAAATTCTTCTTTATTATCGTAGACAGAGAAACCTATAGACTAATGATTAGCGTGGCCTCGAGTGAGAAAGGACGATAACGTAGTTTTAGGTTATACAATAATCTTTATGACTTTTAAACATATTTAGATAAAATTTTTAATTGTTCTAAGAACTGAACTGAACAAGATTCGTTAATCTTAAGCTCACAGAACACATTTTTTCTCTCTTAAACCAACTAGTAAACTCCTTAGATCGCTACGAACTGTTGAAAAGAAAAAGAAATGAAAAGTTGTTTAGCAAAGTGTAGTTTGCTAAACCAAATACCGGCACGGAGAAAGGGACAAACAATCACACCGCTCTGTCTCATTTCTATGCAAGACGTATGCAAAAATCTATCTTTTTCGTGTGCGAATGCGAAAGAAGGCGTCAATTTGTCTATAGGTTTCTCTGTCTATGTTTATTATCAGCCCCTATTGTCGTTCAATCAGTCTTTGACAGCTGTACAAAGTGCTCTCCACTTAAAGGAATGTTATATAATTTATTAACCTTTATATCGGTGCAGAAACGGAAAAATCTATGTAATTAGGTTGTCTCTTTCTCTGGCTTTAAATCTGTGGCCATAGTGGATTTAATCATGCTCTTTTATAATTCTGTATTATGGTTATATACGATTATATGGTTTGACAGGCTAGGCTGGCTAGGTGACAAACGAATTTACTGTCTCCTTCAACTTCAAACGAGAAAGCTACATAATGCGAGTATATATTGTCAACTATGAAGACTAAGATGAATGTAAATTATTTCTTCCGACCTGAACACAGCAGTGCACGCACTCCTATTTGACAGCAGAACTAGGCAAAAGGACTCCTTGAAAAAAAAAACATATCACCAACCAAGTAATTACACGCTTTGAGATATTATTGCAACTTAAACCTCAGGGGTGACAGCGCATCTGTGCCTTTTTTGTTTATAGCTGGTTGCAGGTGTCTTTGGTCTATGACCAACAAATGGACTAAGAATTTGTCACTTTAATTTTTTTTAATTTGATATGAATTGTCATGATTTCTTTTATTTACCCGAATACTACACATTGAATAAAACTAATTTTACGGATTTTATCGCGTTGTGTATGACTTCCGAAGTCGGTAGTCTGTTTACATCGTCTCGTCCATTACATATTGTTGCGCGCCTAAGTTGACGTCTGGCACTAGCGGCAGCTAGTGTCGGGTAACAGAGTGGGGAGAGCTTTCCAGAAAATGACATGTCTAATCTTTCAACCGACAGCGCCATCTAGTATCGAATTGAAGAACTAAACTTTCTAGAAGCTCCCACACTCGAACTTTGGGCGCCTGGTCGGTTAGCGCGCGTATTTACTTGAATATTCTGGATGTTTTGGTGAAAAAGTGTATTTAAACCCGCTGCATGCCACAATCGGGGCAGTATTGAATTTGGCGATACGAGCGCAGCTTCGGAGCGAAATAAAGTGAATCAGTGTGGTTAATTATTAGTGTTTTAAGTTTTAATTGTTGTTCGGGAATAAAAGTGTAAATTTTGGTAATTCAATCGGCAGTTTTTATTGTCACGAACCCCAAGCTCGTAACAATATTATTTGATAAACCACAAATTCTCGTAAAATAACACCGATGTCTATCACGGATGATTCGCGCGGTTATTGGAAATGAAATACAGCCTATTTCAAACAATACAACAAACACCTCATACCCACCTAACCATAGCTAATGTAACGCAATTACGCAACCGAAACGTCTGGTATTAATAATATGCCTTAATTAAATGCGATAAAATCCGTAAAATTAGTTTTATTCCGTATAATGTTACTATTAATGAAATCTACTAATTATTTAATTAATGTTTAATTAATTTATTAAGGTTATTAAAAATTACTAAAATTTTTGGTGATGGTGTAAATGGCTGTTTATAATAAAACTTTTGCTTTCTGAAATAAAAAGAATGTATATCATTAAATTTTTCTAATTTTCTTTCATTGAAGCGAGCGTTTACGACTTTGTTAGTTTGGTGTAGTGCCAATAAAAATATCACCAAATCGGTACCCAATAGTAGCGTTTTGGTCTATTTATTAACAACTTTTATATTTACACTGAAAAAGTCTAAATAAGGTGTGAAACTCATGGCGCCACTTGTCAAAAATGGCAGAGCACCATCTTCCGGATTTTTAATGTAATTTAGTATATACATGTAATAAATTGGTGTTGGAGTTTTAAATTAAAAATGAATTTTCAGAAAATATCTTGTTACATAAGCATTATCTATATACAAAAAAAAACAATGAACGCTTTTGCACTGTACGCACGTTTTGCACGCACGTGACCGACAGCACTGTACATTACAGCACGGGTATAAGGCAGGCGAGGTGATGTCGGGACGTTGCGAACTGTCGAGACTCGCCAACTGTGACGCACTGCTGCCGCTTGCAGCGCTGCAGCGGCGTCCGCTCCCCGACCACGTGGACCCACATCACCTAGAGCGGCACCTGTCCTCGCCCGACTTCATGGTACGTCTAGCTAACTTGCAGCGCTGCAGCGGCGTCCGCTCCCTGACCACGTGGACCCACATCACCTAGAGCGGCACCTGTCCTCGCCCGACTTCATGATACGTCTAGCTAACTTGCAGCGCTGCAGCGGCGTCCGCTCCCAGACCACGTGAACCCACATCACCTAGAGCGGCACCTGTCCTCGCCTGACTTCATGGTTCGTCTAGCTAACTTGCAGCGCTGCAGCGGCGTCCGCTCCCAGACCACGTGGACCCACATCACCTAGAGCGGCACCTGTCCTCGCCCGACTTCGTGGTTCGTCTAGCTAACTTGCAGCGCTGCAGCGGCGTCCGCTCCCAGACCACGTGGACCCACATCACCTAGAGCGGCACCTGTCCTCGCCCGACTTCGTGGTTCGTCTAGCTAACTTGCAGCGCTGCAGCGGCGACCGCTCCCCGACCACGTGCACCCACATCACCTAGAGCGGCACCTGTCCTCGCCCGACTTCATGGTACGTCTAGCTAACTTGCAGCGCTGCAGCGGCGTCCGCTCCCCGACCACGTGGACCCACATCACCTAGAGCGGCACTTGCCCGACTTCATGGTACGTCTATCTAACTTCCAGCGCTGCACGACTTTGTTAGTTTGGTGTAGTGCCAATAAAAATATCACCAAATCGGTACCCAATAGTAGCAGACCACGTGAACCCACATCACCTAGAGCGGCACCTGTCCTCGCCCGACTTCATGGTACGTCTAGCTAACTTGCAGCGCTGCAGCGGCATCCGCTCCCAGACCACGTGGACCCACATCACCTAGAGCGGCACCTGTCCTCGCCTGACTTCGTGGTTCGTCTAGCTAACTTGCAGCGCTGCAGCGGCGACCGCTCCCCGACCACGTGGACCCACATCACCTAGAGTGGCACCTGTCCTCGCCCGACTTCATGGTACATTTAGCTAACTTGCAGCGCTGCAGCGGCGTCCGCTCCCCGACCACGTGGACCCACATCACCTAGAGCGGCACTTGCCCGACTTCATGGTACGTCTATCTAACTTCCAGCGCTGCAGCGGCGTCTTCTCCCCGACCGCGTAGATCCACGCCACCTGGAATGGCACCTGTCCTCGCCTGACTTCATGGTAAGTCTTGCTAACTTGTAACGCTGCAACCGCTGCCTGATTATGTCATCTAGGGCAACACCAGTTTACGCCTGATTTCATGGTGTGGCTAGGTGGTCTACAGCGCTGCAATCGTTATCCGATTTACGGAGTCATCCATGGGACCGAATGAACGCTTGTTAATTATATGATAAACGCATAAACACCCAACAACTTTCTTGTACATTATATTGTTTCTGTATATGTCACATATTGAAGACATTATGCAGTGCTTGGGTTTCATGGTGTTTGGATATTTATTGTTAAGTCGCGTAAGAGGGGGCGTGCAAGTATAACGTAAACAAACTTTCTATGATTTATACCCCCCCTCCCCCCTGTATAAGCAAAAATAATAAAATTGTGAACTTCCCCTCCCCCAAAGTATAAGACGTAAGACTTTTTTTTCAAATCTTATTAAATATTAAAATCTTACGAATTTTTTTAAATAATTTTTTTTGCACGCTACAAGTGAGCTGGCCTGAATTGACTAAATATTTTGTCAGCTTCTAAACCTAGTCAGATTTTTTTAATAGAATGATTGTGGTAAACAAGCACACAGTCCACCTGTTGGTAAGTGCTCGGCCAGCCGGAGTGCTATGGTCCAATAACATGTCCAATAAACATCTACTTCTATCTATGGCCCAATAAACATCTACATCTATCACCGAATAAAAGTTAAAATGCAGATGCGTTGTCACCCCTGAGGTATAAGATGGAATTCCTTGTTACCATTAAAAAGGCTCTCCGGTTGTCTTCGCTTATCATATGAAACGGCAGTATTATTCTACCGTTTCGCGATGTTATTCTGTTAGAGCGTTGTCCTACCCCGGCTACGGCGATTAATTCGTGCTGCAGCTATGTATAGCTAACGTACCTGCAGTGAGGTCTACCACGTGTTTACGTAGTAAAGCCTCGTGTAAAGCAGGTCTTGGTCGTGTAGACATATAAACCTTAACGAAAGGACAACTAACAGTTATCAAAAGTCAGCTAAACTTTATATAAAATATTGTTTTCACAGGAGGCTTTCGGCATAACCAAAGAGGAATTTGCAGCTCTACCCGCTTGGAAACAGACCAACATGAAGAAGGACGTTGGCCTGTTTTGACCCCTAGGCCTCGAAGCATTTGTTGAATCCAAACACACTTTTAGCATTACGCCCGTACTGATTGCGGGCGCGGGATAAACGCACTACGTGAAAGGAGACGTCACTGAGTTACGTCTCGTTCGTATACATACATTTTTGTACAATCGCAGCTTTTTCGTACTTTTTTACTGAAACAATATCGAAAGGATTTGATACAATTAGTGTTAAGAGCACGCTTTAAATTTTTATGGCAAAGGGAGATCAGTCGTCTTTTTTGTACTAACGGAATGTAACTATGTATTCGCTCACGTGATATTTTCATGTAACCTGCTGTAGACATATTGATAGATTTATAGTGCATGCAACAAGGATTTGGAAGGAATTGTATGCGGAAACGATCGTCGGCGATTTGTCCTGTCCATCGCGTACGTAACTTTGTATATAGTCGTTTTAAATTATTTATTTTATATAGTCGTTCCTTTTATTTCTACGTTTTATAACTACCCTCTTTTTTCTATTGATTTGTAACATATTATTTTCGGTGTCTTTTGAGGCCTTTAGTTTCAGTTACGAGCCGCGAGGATGGAACAGTCGTCGAAGAAAATTAAAGGTGATATTTTTTCCATTCCATTTGGTATTTTCGAATGTACTACCAATTTGTCAATGCCTAAGTGGAATGCGGTAGGGTTATCTTAATCTGGTCAATGTATGATTATTGTTTGTACGTTTAATAAGTATACAAACTCTTCTACTGTTATATACGCTTTAGGGTAGGCTTAATGGTGGTCTGTGACGCTCGGACTTTTATACAAATCGTAACTTGTGATATTTTCGGCGCCGTTGGGAAAACTATGCTCACTTAGCACTGTAGCGGCCCGTTTCGTTATAAGTGTTTGTATAAATTTTCAACGCCTCAGAGCTATTTATATTAACACATCACATATCCTAACTACTCATTAGCTACTTTTTATACTGTGCGTTAGGTGGACCATTGCGAATGTATTCGAAGCTTCATGTTTAAACGTCTTGTATGGAATATTATTAGACATAGTTACCTAGGCGCCGGTGTTTTTAAAATTCAATAAAGTATTTTTTGAATACCTTTTAGTGAGACGATATATAAATTCATCACTAGTTGTATAAATGCTTTTGCCGTCGTTTTATAAGCGACACGAAAGATTTTTTTAATCTCTAAAACTAATTTCATTGTATTTTTTTTTTATTAACGTTCTTAAAGATAATTAGCTAAAGAAGTGGATACTTACCATTTTACAACGAATGTTTTTATTAATGAAATGATCTTTTTAAATAAAATATTGTATACCTTATTGGAATAATATGGGTTTTGTATAACCCAAAATTTATCAAATCCGGACTGTCAGATAACTATGTCTGATTATAAATGGGTAGCCTTTTTGATAGGTCTTAAATACGATTATAAAATTTTACTGACTATTAAAACACTGTCGGTTTCAAATTGTTGTTTGAATGACTTCATATATTCCTAAATTGACCACAAAAGTTTTTTGACTTTACAATAGTAATATATACCATATTAAAATTCACTAAAACACTGACTTTGCAAAATGTTTTTGATTAATAATTCAATAGATATACGATGCAGGTGACATTATGTTCTAGTGTACTATTAATAATGCTGGAATTCATTTGCAAATTATTTGTCAATATTGTACCGCCATTTGGTTTGCTGATTAATTTTATAGCAGTTGTTGTGTTGCCTACTGTTTTAGATGTTTACTTTTTTAATTATTCTTCTTCATAATTTTGTAAAGTTTATTTGGGATTTTGTATTGCCATTGTATTTGATGCAACTGGTTCGCGTATTTTTGTTGCCAGTATCGTAAAGAATTTTATTTACTGCCAATGAGTAGAGAATAACATTTAAACTATCAAGTCATACCTAAGTTAACGTACTTAGTTAAAATTAATTTAATGTAACGTATATTGTATGCATTTACGGCCGATCCTGTACGGGCCTACCGTGACATAAACGTGTATCTCAAATCCAATGTTTAATGTTTTGCTTTGGTTGTGTTACTTATAATTATTATTGTATTTGAGATTTATTTTGTATAATAATTAATGATGTAATAAATTGCTAAAATTCAATTGTATTCATTATTTCATTGTTTCCCCCGTGTGTCTGCACTTGCTTTGTAAGGATGATAATGATATTGTATGATCTTAAGTGAAGACAATTTTTGTTTGTCCCTCATTTATGTCAATACGCACTCTTATTACATTGAATATTGACTGCCTGGCTAAAACAGTCCTATGTTCGAATCCCATTAGCAGCTATTTTGTAATAACTATCATCATTAATGACGTTTGTAAGTACGTACACTACTCAATATAGGCGTTTTGAAGAACTTTCACTGCTTGTGAGAGCTACTGGTAACCATGTAGTGGCGGTGTAAAAATATCCACTACTCTATATCGTTTAGTAGGTATCGTAAACGACACTTAATACTAGCATACACTAGAGACCTGCCTCAGCTTCTTAAAGTGCAGCCTAGATCACTCTTGGGCATTACCCACTATCTATTCTTGAAGATGACGGACAGACAAATAATTTAAAAATGATTATTTATGTCTTAATGGCGTGCAAATAACACCGTCAGCTCAATTATGGCAGTTACTTCGATGTAACAAACAGAAACTTCAATTTTTTTTATATGTATAGATTTTTATTTTCTATTGAAAAGTAAAGTTCTGAGTTCTGAGCTTAGGTATTAGAGGCTGTAACATTATTTTTTACTTTTACTAAAATAATTCCTTGTAGAATTATTGCCAATAATATTATCTTCGTAGTGTAGCAAGAAGTAGAGAATGGTGAGTATTCCTTTAGAGTAGGTAATGCTTTTTGGTGAGCGAAGCCAAAAGTGGTACCTACATACATAGTACACACAACATCACGTTAAACTAGTATTAATAAAATTAAAATTGGTATTTTTTTAATTGTTGTTATATAATTATAATATTATATAAGGTCAGGTGAAGTAAGAGTAACATAAAAAGGAAAATACTTTATTTTTAGTAAAATATTTTGACTGCTAGGAAGAACAGGTAAAGTCTTTTAAGATCTTTGAAACAAACAAAATTTGCCTTTATGTATTAACTTCACGTGTGCAAAATGTCATTATGCTAGTATCGGTTCTTATAATCTACCTTGTATTCTATCTTATATATTGTATCTTATAATCTATAATGAAATATTGACGTAAATGTCAAGATTGAGTAAACGTTCCTCTTCCCCCTCACATGGGGTAAGAGGGACAGTCATTGTATTTCTTAAGATTGGAGTTTGAATTAAAATATTCTTTGCTAAATGTTCCTTAATTTGTAGGTAAAACTGCTTCGGTAAAAATTAGATCTTACAATCGATGAAATAAGGTATCGTTTGGAATGAAAAAGAAGAAAAAATCAATTCTGGGTAAGAGGGACATACAGGTTCGAACATGGGTGGCAAACTAAAAAGAAATCGAGACCAGTTATATTTCTATATTTATTTAATCATACGAACGGTAATACATCTCCCTAACTAGTTTTCCCTAGTTAGTCACTCTAAAAATAACAATGGCACTTTGGATTTTAAACCTCTGCGGTCGTATACACGGTTAACAATTGATGTTCTCGGTATATTATAAAGTTTTGATGCGGCGTATGCAGATAATGGGTGCGTTTGGCAGAAAAAAGCGCTAGCAAGCGCTTGTAAGCAAAATGGCGATCGTAAGCGGTAAGCGCTGTCAAATCGTAAGTCGCTATTTTCCTCCAGGACACGATGTTAGTTTTAACCGGGGAAACTAACCTAATTTAAATATATGTTTGTAAAGTATTCATATTAAAAACTTACCAATCATGAATTTTTAATAACATGTATATGTCTATTCATGTCATTATATTACTTAAAACTAATATTGCACAAAACAACTTATAAACTCTACGTCAAACAAATTAAATAAGCAAAATGGCGGATTGTGTCAGCGCTACTGAAGTAGCAATCGTGTCCTGGCCGAAAACTATTTTAGCGCTTGTAAGCGCTTGCTAGCGCTTTTTTCTGCCAAACGCACCCATTGTTAAATTTTTACCGCATTGACAGCTTCACTTAATTTATGATTAATCATATCTGCTTTTATCAGATTTTCTTATATATTTTCGCGGCATATTTTATCACATATGTATATAATTCCTGCAACAGTAAAAAGTGTTACAATTAAAAATAAAGGGACGTATACAAAAGGCATGAAACTTTATTTATCTAAACTGATTTAATAAAAAGAAAACATTTGATTTTTTATTTTTTGTTATGATTTAGATTACTCAAGAACTAAAGTTCGATTGCAAAACAAATTTAACACAAAAATAAGTAAGTGTGGAGGAAGTTGCGGGAAATTTCTAGTTTAGTTATAATTTAAAATTGTAGTAGGTACAAAACAGTCAGTCAATTATTTTCATTTACACACATCAACACACATTTTGAATAATTTATAATTATAGGTAGATCTATAATTATAAATGATTCAAAATGTGTGTTACCCCTGACATGGTGTAAAAGAAACATGTTCCTCTTTCACCGTGAGTAGTGAGCCTCTTACCCCAGCTATTGTATTTGGAGGTTTAGATTTTCAACCGAAATAAACTCATATTATTAGTTGTTTTTAAACTAAAATGGTTAATAAAAAGAAATAAATACAGTTTTCTCCGTATATCATTACATTCAAAATATTTCCAGCACTCTTTTTTCACCAAACTATTGGTTCGCAAAAAAAACGCGCTAACTTTGTAGTAGTCGAATTCACAACTGTCAAAAATGTGTCTTCCTTTTTTGTGGCTTCTGAGTCACGTAGGGATATCTATTGAAAACCGTTCAAACTATTTCGCATTCACGGTTTTATTGAAGAAAAGTTCATAGTCATACGCACTTCGGTTTACTAGTTATGGTCCCAAGTCCCTTTTCCCCCGGTGTCCCTCTTACCCCACCTGACCTTAATATATAATTATATGACAAGTCCGAAATACTCTTTTGCTAAATATGTTCATAATAGAAAAAACATTCAGAGTTAGAATTTTAAGAATTCCTCATCGAATTCCTATGAGTTTGTTTTCTTAATTAGTTTAATTTACACATTTTACTATTTGGGTACCCGAGAAGATGATTTGTAAATGAGGAAAAGTATTGTTCCTTCCATATGATCCACACATTATGTCATAATCATCATCTGCCCGTAAAAGACATTTGCTGGCTGTGGACCTCTCCTATTGTAGACAGGATTGGCTTTAATTGTCAAGCTTTTTCCTGTTTACGGTGACGGTTTGGGTAATTTAAATAAATCCGGCGTAAACCGTATAGTCGTACTGCTATCTATATATCAGCCACTAAAATATCTTTATGCCATTTTATAAGTCTTCTTTAATACTAGGACTAGGTTTGCCAACTCTGTAAAATATACTATAGTCTACCCTGCTATTCAATATAAAGGGTTTTTCCATAAGGGCGGGTAGAGGTTGAAATGAAATAAAACAAGCTGTGTGTGAGGTATTCACAGAATTCTTTTATAATTTGAAAGACCCACATGTGCCATTAAGTGAGGAACATGACATCGTTGAAATGCCCGCCTCGGCTTCTTACAGTGGCACGAATTCGAGTGGTCCAATTTTCAATGACCCTTCTGCATAGTTCCAGCTGAATTTGAGTGATGGCCTGCGTTATGTTCACCTTTAGGGCATCGGTCGATAGTGGTTTGCTTGCATAGACCTGCGACTTCAAGAAACCCCACTAGAAAAATCTAGCAGTGGTGGCCAATTCACATCACAACTGCGAGAGATAAGTTTATCCTCAAATCACTTAAGAAGAATGTCAATTGTGACGTCCGCTGTGAGGCACATAGCGCCGTCCTGCTGGAACCGTATTGTGGAAGAAACTATTATAATTTAATAAAGGCCGGCTCAAAGCTGCAAAGAATATTTCTTGAAAAATTAAATATTGATTTAAAACAGGTGCATAACCATGAACACAGATGCTATTAGTTTTTTTTTTATTTTTACCATCTGCTATATGAATATATGCAATAGCTCAAAAATACTATATAATATATTAAATACTATATAATATATTAAAAAGTTAGCAACTACTATCCTACACTACCTATCGTGCGGCCCGCCATCATACGGCCAATGTTGCTACATAAAAGGAATATATTGTTACGAGCTTGAGGTTATTCATGCAACAATATTCTTAATCTTATTTATCATAAACAACATAATATATAATGTGCTTTGTGAGGTTTTTATCATAGAATTTAGGGCTGAAATGAGCAGTAGCCTATGTATAAAGTTGACCATGAGCTACAGTAGGCACCTATAATCGGATGGACCGTTCTTTAATGGAAGAAAATAAATTGTTGAAAAGTGTGTTAAAGTGTCACTTAAGTTTAGTTAATACAAAAATCTCATCTGTCAAGTCCCCTGGAAGACTTTTCAGCAGGCATAGGTACGCTTTTTTCAAGCCTTGTCTTTAAGTTGCATTTCTAAGCTTAGATCAGATACCCTGATTTGGGTTTGGTACTTTTGGACGGTTAATCGTCAGTCTTCTTCTTCTCCGTTGTACAACAGTGTATCCTGTGTCTAGGTAGTTTATCTCTTAGAATCGAGTCAGTCTACACAACCAAACAATATTTATTTTAATTTTATGTATAATATAAACTACCGAACCAAGAATAAACTAAAAAAACCGTGTGTTCAGTTTTCACATTTTAAAACTAAAGAAAACGCCCACAATAGTGGTTTCGAGAATTTCACATGTTATAGTAGTATTTAATTTTAGATTTGGAGAATATTCATTTTTCGATAGAAGCCCGGTATTATAAAAAAAAAACTAAGAATTTTAAAGGGAGCTGAAGAAGCTTCTTTTAAGTTTTAAATTGGATGAAAGAGTTTTTTAGTTTCCGAGAACATATTAAGAATAAACCCCTACATCAAATATTAGACCGTTTTAAAATCATGTTTTAGTTTTGACCATCCCACAGGCGCGATGAATATTTTTTAATAAAATCAGCTGAGTTAATCTAGGATTTAAGCTGTTTTCATTCAGGATTTCAGCAAGTCCGTGAAACTGTTTTTGTATGAAAGTAGTAACGAAAAATAAGCTCACACTCACTCACAAACTAGCATTTAAAACATTAGTGTGAAGTATGGTAGTGTGATGCGTTCTCTAATAAAATTCTATAGTGTAATAAAGAATTATTTATTATATTAAAATAACATTCGCACACCAGCATATTATCAAAATTGCACAAAGTGATAAATCCTACTCGTACTTAATATTAAATAAATTAAATTTTATTAAGTTACATTAGGTCTACTTTTCTACTTCACTTCAAACTAACGCTCCACATAGGAGATGAATTTGAACATAGTGCAAACGTCTATTAGACTAAAGTTCTAAAAAGTCGCTTGAAGAACAGTTTAGCTCCGTCTTCTGTCTCTACTTCGTCTTCTAAGGCCTCCACACTCTCTTCTTGATTTTTATTCTTCTTCATTATAAGTTCATCACTGTCTACTTCGTCATCTTCATCTTCATTTAAATCTTGCCCTGTGCCGTTTTCTTCGTCAATACCTGATTCTTCGTTTTGCCTTTTAAGTGATTTTTTAAATTGTTTCATTTGTTTGTCATCGTTCTCAGAATCGTCTTCTCCGTTACTATTTTCTTGACTAATAGATTCTTCGTTGGTTTCTTCCTCAGTGTTCTTTTCATCTTCATATTGTTTGAAAATAAAGCGACGGAACCATCTTGTGTTTTCGATATCTTCAGCGGCATCACTCTCTACAATTTCTCCCTGAAATAAGTCTTCTGAGTTTCCGGTTTCTTCAACTTCATTGTAATTTTCTTCCTCTTGTCTTTTAAAATTTTCTTTTTCTTCACCATTTTCCTCGTCAGCGTCTTGCTCGTCACCATTTTCTTCTTCATTTTGTCTTAATTGTGAACTCTGTTTACTTTTTTTTTGTTCAACGTTTTCATCTTCGTATTCATCATCATTTTCTTCTTCAATGTCGACTTGACGTGATAATTTTTTTTCTTTAACATCATTTTCATCATTATCGTCTGTATTATCTATCTCAATTCCTTCGTCAGCTTCATTTTCGTCATCGTCACCGTCTTCATTTTGTCGGTTAATGGATCTTCGTGATCGTATTACTCGTTTTAGTTCTTCTTGATATAATATGTTTTTTAATTCTGATTCACCGTCATAGTCCTCATCATCTTCTTCGTCTTCTATTTCTTCACTATTGTTTTCATTTTGTTTTAGTAAAGTTTTCTTTAACGGTTGAAGATCATCTTCTGTTTCTTCATCGTCCTCCTCTTCGTTACCATTATTATCTTGTTTTATTATTTCTCTTCTTTCTTCTTTAATTATTTTAACCTCCCCTTCTTTTTGTGTTCCACTCAGTTTTTTGTTATGGTAGTGGAATAGTTGTGGACTTTGATGTTGATACTTTTCAGGTTCTTCGAGTTCTTGGGCTTCTTCAAAATCACTTATTTCTTGAAGTTTATATAGTCTGTAAGCTCTTATAAATTTCGTAAGTTCGTCATCTTGAATCGTGTTAAAATCTTCTCCTGATCCCTCTTCATCATTATCATCATTATGGTCGTGACCCTGATCGTGGTCGTGATGATGGTCGTGGTCATGGTCGTGATCCTGGTCGTGATCATGGTCGTGATTATGGATGGGACCATGGTCGTGATCATGAATGGGACCATGTTCCTGATTACTATTGTTTTCATTGTCGTTGTCATTATTGTTTTCGTGAGCATTATCCAAATTAATGCGGCTTTCGTCTTTATCTTCGTCTACGGATTCAATGTTTCCATCCGAAGTATCTTCTTCTTCTTCTCCTTCTTCTTCGACTGATTCCGTTGTTTCCTCAAGCTGCGATTCCAGTTCCGGCTCATTTTCTGATTCAGGTTCCGATTCGGATTCTGGCTCCTGCTCTGGTACAGCTTCAGTTTCCGTTTCTGTTTCGGGTTCAGGCTCTGCTTCCGGCTCTGGCTCAGACTCGCTTTCACTGCGGCAGTTGGCTGGAGGCTCTGATCGGTCACAAACCTGCAATATATGTTGACATTTACGTTAAGTATTTAAAGAAAGTGAATAAATTTTAATAAAAATAAAACTCAAAATGATGCATGTATGTAATTCATTATGCGTTCCTAAGTTACGATACTTGAAGTAATAAAGAGAGGATTTAAAATAATATTATATTTCACCTGTTCCTCTTCATTAAACCAGGTGTCGGTAGGACATTGCATGAGGTAAGATCGACTAGCGTAGCATTGGTAGTATTCATGACAGCTGTCGACACTGGCGATTCGCAGGAAGTTCTCCTGGCCGATGCAGAGAGTCTCCGGATTTTGTCTCAATTTTATTGAGATGGCGGAGGCGCCACTCAGTGTTGCCGCACAACACAACACCCAAAACGCCGCTAGAAACATTAAGCTTAAAGTTTAATCTACATTTAATTCGGAAGTCTTTTTAGTCGTAGATCTTAGAACATAATAAAAAATAGGAACGATAACTTTAGAAAACTTGTAACGAAACTTCATAAATATTATATAACTACATAAAAAGTTTTAAATTAAAATCTTATTTATTACACATAAATAATCTAATTTAATGAAAAGGAAGACGTTTGACTTTATTAGTACCTAATCATTATTTTTGTATTACTGCCTATTAAAAATTGAACACATTTTGAATAATCATAGACGTGATATAATTATTTACATACGTCACCCTATTATACCCACTCATGATAATAATTTATATTTTTATTAGAATTAGACTGATATTGTTATAAAGAAATTATGAAAGGTACTCACTGTTCATGTTGACCGCTACAACCGCCGTGTCACTGTTGCGATCTGATGGAAAAATAAGACAGCGGATCGCAACTCCTCAATTTTATCGAGGTCACGGTATCTCAGGAGTCGCTGATAACGTCTTACGATTGCGAGATACAGCCTCAATGGAGATATTGTCTATCAATCTTTTATCAATACTTTAGGTTTAACCTACGTTCTCGGAAGCATCGATTTTACTAATGCGACTTACTTACGATTAAATAGTCGCACAAAATTGTATCTCTTCGGATCTCTATAGGAGGCTATATTATCACAACGCAACTTGTCTATCTCTTCTTCCAGTACCAGTATTTCCTCGTTGGTCTTCAGTGCGCCTGCGTTATATGTTTCCTAATCTAATCATCGAGGTTATACATGGTAGAGCCTCGCTGCAGCTATATTATGCTTGGAGTACGAATGCGTCAGCTCGACCGGGGAGTGACCGCAGAGTACTAACGTATAGCAGCATCATACTGCTGTTTTCTGTATAGTGAGTGTAAAGAACTGGAGACCCTTTTTACTGGAAAAGAGGCATTCCATTTTAGTCCACAGGGGTGACAACGCGTCTGCATTTTGATGCTTGATCGAGGATTGATGTAGATGATGTTTATAGGTGACAGAAACCACTTACCGTCAGGTGGACTGTGTGATTCTTTATCACCTTTATTATTTAAACAAAGATGGCCTTTGAACCTCGCCACAATAGCCAAAAGTATTCGGAGCCGCTGGATTTTTTTTTCTGTCGCTTCTAATAGGAAGAAATTGGCTATAGTTCCCACGTATGGCAGGCGCGTTGACAACCGAAGTTTTATATAGCTTTTATTTCCTAGTCATTATAACGCAGACAGCTGCTCAGCCCCTGCTTTGTTTTCCTCTGTCACGACACCCACAAGGCGATATGGTGTAGTGGCACTACACGGTAATAACAAGTAAATTAAAAAAAGAGTATTTTTTTACCGGTTCTTCTATAAAAAGGTGTTGTTTTCTGAAGTGGTGAACATTTTGACGTCTATTTTTAAACTATAAATCTATACATAAACATAAAATTGAAGGGTATGTCTGTGTATATCAAATTAAAAGCTTTTATTGAGCTGAGGGGGATATTTGCACGCCATTAAGACATGAATAAACATTTTAAATTTTTTTCTATTTTTGTAATCATTAACTTGGAGATTTATTTTGAGAAATCTAAAAGTTAATAAATTTAAATGCTATCCGGTCAAAGCTAGGGTGGGTTCTAGTTATATAATAAATATTGTCTTTCATAGTTTAGAATTCGGAGCGTGACAAGGAACACGTGGAAAATCTTTTTATATATATTGGTGTTTTTGTATCAATATGTACTGTACTGTTTGTATGGAATAAGTACTGGCCATAAAATCACGCGGTTGTTAAATAAATAGTGGTAAATATAAATATATACATAGAGCCGTGGTAGCTCAGATGGTTTGCGCTCGCTGTAAATTTCACAATACGCGAGCAAACCGGGTTCGATCCCGCCGGCACCAATGAAATTGTTAATTGCAATTTTAAGTTCTGATTTACCACGTGCTCGGCGGTGAAGGAAAACATCGTGAGGAAACCTGCATGTCTAAGAAATAAGAAAAAAATATTTCGAAGGCGAAGAAGGCAGCGCGGCGGACTATTCCTCGCCCTAAAACCCTCTCACGAATGAGAGGAGGCTTGTGCCCAGCAGTGGGATGTATATAGGCTGTAACTTTACTATACTTTTACTTTTATAAATATATACCTACAGAAGTTAAGCTAATAGATTCCTAAGTGTATAATTACTATTTTTGTTAGGAATAAAATCAGCACTAAAATTGGTCCTAAGTGACATCAGTGCTCTATGCTTGGAAGGACCTGCGAAGGATAAGAAGCTGCCCCGGCGTAAATTTCCGTCGCACCTTTGCAATGACACCAAGTTTCCTTGGATCTGCATCAGCACAATACAACGAAACCAAACATCGAATGACAAAAACGAAGCCAACCACGACTTCCACCAATGAGGGCAAATAATATTACGATCACCAGATGTCGCTAGTTGACATTGAAGTAAAGTTTTTTGTAACACAATGTCATTTAATTGATAATTTAGTTTTTAATAAAAGTTTATCAGTTTCTAGAGTATTATATTAATACACAAAACAATGCCTAAGTGGTTTGTACTTTAATTGTTAGCACATTTTTAACGTTTTTTTATTTATCTTTTTATGAATATCTGTGGTAATATCTGTAATAATACCCCATTTGGACTTTTTGCATCGCCCAAAATTGAGAACCGAATAAATCTCAACGCCGAACATCTGTAGGCAGTCGTTTCACTGCAAGTATGTACATCCCGGAAAGTAAAAACGGGATTATTTTGTTGTCATTAGCAGTAATTTCAATTTCCACCCTATAACACGTTTCTAGCACTAAGCAACAATCCATGGGATGATATTGTCTAGTTTGAAGAGTAAAAATAGGTGTTTGGTAAGTGTATAAGCTAGTTGAAAGGCGTTCTATCAAACATTTAGCACCGTACGCTTCATTCCTCATTCTGTCCCCGTGTATTTTTTCATAATATATTATATTACGCACAGGAAGTAGATATCTGTGTGAAATATTCGTTTCGTTAGGCTTCCTAACATAGCTGACCGAACCTGTATACTAGTACGTAATACACATTTGTAGTAGGTATTAGTTACATAGACATTACGAAAAAAATATATAAAATCTTTTATTGAAACTCCCGCTTAAAACCCCTATGATTAGTTATCGTTGTCTTGAATGTAACTTTCATTTTATTACGTATGTAACCGGTATTATTTATGCATTACTCAAGAACAAATTCTTTACATGATAAACATGATGTATGGGTTTTAACTAACGAACCACGAATTCGAGACATTGTTATCACTTATCTGTCAAGGATTTTCCATCACGTATTTACACGTGACGACATATGGGAAAAGTGTGATTCACCGAGTGTTGAAGGAATTATTTCACTGTTTCTATTTTGTTTTTCTTTTCAAACAAGTGAAGGTTATAAACGATCGCACAGTCCATCTGACGGTAAGTGGTTACGCCACTTGATTAAAAATCTAAATGGAGATACGTCACGGGTGACCATCGAGGACTTAGAAGTTCGTGGTTTAAGAACTCCACTACCCCGTATCATCCCGTGGGTACCGTAAGAGGCGACAAAGGCAGCAACAACGAATTTTTATAACAACTGGACAAAACTGCGGTTTACAACCTGCCTATTGATATTTGATATCCCCCTATGTTCAGCAGTGACTTTGATGGATTGTAATGAATGCATGAAAATTCATCAATCCAATCTAGCGTGGATTAGATTAATCGGACAGACTGTCAGCATGTGTGAGCAAACAAAAACCACCCCAAAAGGTGTTTTCGCTAATATTACAAATCAGTTACTATGGCCTATCGAAGTCTGGAAAAAAGTCGTCATACACAATTTAAAACTGAATTGACTCGTTGTTGTAGCAAATTGTTGATGGAATTATTGAGCGTCTACTTACGTCACCATTACAGGTATCAATAAAATAATTTACTGTTTTATTTAATCAAGCTCACGGCCTATCTAGGTATGGAAAAAATCATCATACATAATTTAAAACTAAATTGACTAGTGATGCAGTTGTTGCAGGCTTGTACCATATCATACAGCCAACCTGATGTGATTTTTGTTCAAACTAGATATCTTTAATTCCCGACTTCCTGCTGTAATATGACTGAAGAAAAAATTGTTCAGGATTTCATACTCTGTTTTTACATGTTTTTCATTTAGTAAGACGCAAGAAAAAAATGTCAACAAAAATTTGTTTGGGAGTTCGCCATTCGACTCACCAACCCAGAAACGAGAGAAGGCCTGTGCCCAATAGTGTTCGTATAAAGACTGACTATTTTCTGAAATGAAAATTTCTTTAAGGGCGATAGGCGATTTTTGGATATGTAAAATCTTATGAGTTTGCGTCATCAAGATGCGTAATATCAGTTTATCTGTAGCTATAAGTATGATGTGTTGAGCTCGGACTGTAGTGGCAGGTTATACTTATATATGCTTAATAACTTAATACTTTGTATAAATAATATAAATGCATATTAACTATTAGCTTTTTACCCGCGGCTTCGCACGCGTGGACTTCAATTTAGGAACATCATCAATGCTTCGCACCAAAATTAGCAAATTGAATTACATGTGAAGTCATTTCGGTGTCCGTTTCTATGTCTGTCTATCATAGGAACTTTTTCCAAGACTATTTCATATTGATGATGAAAATTGGCATAGATACTACAGGAATACAGAAGTGAGGTTTTCAGAATATTATGTTATACATAAGTGGAATTAATCTTTATATCGTCTTTAGTCTTTAGTCGTCCCTTGGGTGTCGTAAGAGGCGAAAGAAAAAACGCAAACAGGACGTGGGTGATATATATACAGTATAGTATACAGTAAAAATCTTTTGGTTGCCAACCCCAAGACTTGGTTTGGATGCCAAATGTGGCAACTACTGCAATATGCAGCCAAACTGCAATATACAATCAAAATTTGACACTTTATTTTTCACTATATTTGTTCACTTATGACATTCTGTAAAGATAGCAGTGATGACTTTTACTTATCTTCCTTACCGTTGATTGCACTTAGAATGAAAACAAAAATGTTTAGCTTATAAACATCCGATTATTGGGCCAGACAAAACCGGCCGCAGAGGGTTTTGCGGCAGGAAAGAACTCGACGCGCTGATCCAAATCGGGATAATCGATCGATTTTAAATTCAAAAATACATATTTTTTAACTTCTCAGACATGTATGTATCCTCGCAATATTTTCTTTTCCCGCCGAGAACGCGGTAAATCGGCATTTCAAATTGGAAAGAAAATTTGAGTGGTTTTGACGAGGATTGAATTTTAGTTGCATGTGTACTTTTTTTTATAGGATAGGGTGACAAACGAGCACACAGTCCACCTGATGGT